TAGTAACGTACGTGATGTCCGTGCCAGTAAAGAGGGTGTCGGAGTAGTCCGAAGCGTACCCTGCAGGAGCTGCTGCCGTTGGGTATACCGCTTCAGCCATACCTTCAGCTTGATCAGCTCCGTGTCGGTCATATGTTCTGGTTTAGGCGAAGCGAGTTTCCCCGCGGCCCAATCACGATGTAGTTTATATATATATATATATAAAGGTGAAAAGGTGTTTCCATCTTTATAGATTGGGATATTTCTTCGGCTGCTGTTTGGTCGTAGTCGCTTTCCGTCGGCTGCTCCTTCAAACGCGTTGCAATCTGATCGGTGCCGCAACCCCGACCATCACCATGAGACCAGACCCACGGTGTCTTGCGGCATTTAGGGCTTCTTGATGGGCGTCTCACGGGGCAGCCGAGCCAGCGGTCCACATACTCGGGGCACGTGCAAGCAACGCCTCTGTAAAGTTTCCGTTCCTTGGTGATGGTCCTCCTGAGGTCGCGCTTCATAAATATTTCGTGTGTTTTGACAGCCCCTGTCCTTTTTGAGCGAATGATCTTGCCTTTCTCATCCCGGTTAACCTTGCGAAGAGAATGCCAGTGACAAATCTGGTGCTCAGTCCAACCTTTGCCCAACCAATGTTGCCTTGTATCTGGGTCTATGTACTGACGAGCCAATCCAGCATCCGAGTAGCCCGCAAAGCGCTGTAATCCGTATTCCGGATGTTCTTCATGAGGTTGTTTTCCCTCATGCACACGCCTGAGCATACGACGAACATAATTCTAGCATCACCACAGCCTGTAACATCAACAGCTGGCAAACTGCATAGCATACGCCTGAGGCAAGCGTCTTCTCCAGCTGGAAGGTCGCAATCCAAAGTGAACGACCCCTATTCAACAACATACAGGCTTACACGGCAATGCCAAAGCACGGTGCCAAACCACTAACCCCGTTCCTAACATAATGAAATAACATCCCGTCACCTGCAGAGCATGCGCCTGAGTTCAACTGCAACGAACAGAGCTCCCAGATCTTCCTACCAGACATGTTGTAGCTTCCCAGCTTGCGCGCTCAACAGCAATACGTATGCTGAGCATTCGCATGAGGCAAGCGTCCGGATACACGCTACCTTCAGCGAGTACCATCTTATCAACGACATCTAGGCTCAGTCGGGTCCAATGCCAAAGCATGGTGCGTAGCACTCAGGTATTCATATGATCAGTATGGCACACGGAAACTATTGGAAGCAATGTGCGAAGCACAAGTCATCCCATCATAATTAAGGTATCAGCCCAGCCTGTGCAATAAAGAGCCCCAGCATCTGCTGATCACTCGCATGAGACAAGCGTCCAGATACGCTGGACACTTGCATTGCAAAGTGAATGGCGTCGGTTCGACCTTCAGGCTTAGACGTGCTCAACTCAAAGCATGGTGCGGAGCACATCGATCTTCCTATCAGAACTGGGCTGTCATCCTAGACGTGCAATCAACCACAATTCAGCTGCTGATCAGACGCCCAAGGCAAGCGTACCCTGCCGCTCAGCGACGTCTATGCTCCAGGCTCAGACGAGCTCAATGCCAAAGCATGGTGCAGAGCACTCAGACACAGCGTCGCGCACATGGGGTCGGTGTCGGTTCCCAGTAGCTGCCCATCTAAAGACGACCGCTGAACATGCCGAGGGCGGGTGGGAGTAAGCTAGACGGCTTGTTATCTAGGGGGTGTCTTGACCCCTGTCCCTACCCCTATCCCTAACCCTATGTCCTATCCTTCCCCTATCCCTATCCCGATTCCCTCATCGTGCCCCCCCCCCCCACCCCATCGTGGCCCCCATTGCAACTGCGTCAAGCTGTTTAGGGTCTTCTGCCGCAAGTGAGCCATTGCTACCCTCCCCCCCTTCCTCTCTTACACTCTCCCTCTCTCTCTTTCTGTCTCTCTCTCTCTCTCTCTCCCCCTCTTTCTCAGACACCCTGCGGCATGGCCATGGGCTGCATCATCGGCTAACGACGCGGAACGCAAGCAACATACAAGGATCGGCGGAAGTGGCGTAAGCCTCTGGATCCACATCCAGAGGTGACGTGCTGAGCGGCAGCGTTGTTCGGCGAACGCCTCAATGCAACGTACCCAATGTATGCAGGTACTTCGCAAGTGCTACAAATCGTATCGTGTTATACTAGTATGTCACCTTCCTTACCCCCCCCGCCCCGTGAAGCGGGGGTGCGGGCATCAGCTGCCATGCGGGAAGTGCACCATCCTCGAGCGGGCACGCGTGGAATGGGGGTTGAGGCATTGGCTGCCATGCTGGAAGCGCGCCATCCTCGAGCGAACACGAAGGAAGTGGCCTCGGCGAGCAGGGGGGATGAACGCAACAGTCAGCGGGTAGAGGGGGAGCGGGTCCCTGTCGTGTAGAATTCCGAAGGACGCCCTACCAGACAGCCCTTGCCGTTCTTCCACGCCGAAGCGGTATCACATGTTTCTCGCCTCCGGGGGCCCTCTTCGGGGTCCTCTTGAGGCCATATTGGCTCGTGCTGGGGGCAATGTTGGGCCATCTTGAGGCCATCTTGGGCCGTGTTGAAGCCATCTTGAGCTCTCCCGAGGCCCTCTTGGACCCCCTAAGAGGCCCAAGAAGCCAAACACTTTGATACTGAGGTTTTGGTTGGAGGCCGTCATCTGGTCGACGGATGTGGCGTGACTCCAGTGGGGGGCAAGGGGTCTTCATTACATTATACAAAACAAGACCACATAATGTGATTTGCAAGTGTATGTTTGATTGGACACACGTGATATGTTGAAGTTCTGCCTTCGCGAAAAGCGCTGCCGATCAGCAAGCACGTCAGTCCGGACATGGGTTCCTCTCGCTTCGCGGGGTGCACGTCTGGAGCACGTACAATCCAGTCGTTGTGGGGCCTTCTGGGAACTTCTTGGGAGCCTCTTGGAGGCTTCTTGGGGGCTCCTGGGAGCCTCTCGGGGGCCTGTTTAAGGCTTCGTGAGGCCTCTTGGGCGATTCTTAGACAGTCTCAGGATTGCCTTGCGCAGTCTGGCCGCTCCGAAAGCCATTTCGGGAGCCTCTCTGGGCCGCCTTGGGGTTCTCGTTCTCTCGGGGTCTCCTAGGGCCAGTGTGGGGGCCTCCTGGACCGCCGTGGGGCCTCTTTAGGTCATGTAGGGGCTCTCTTTATAGGGCCGTATTCGGCCCCTCTTGGGGGCCTCTGGGGCCGTTTTAGGGCCATCTCGGAGGCTTCTTGGGCCGTCGTGGGCCTCGGAGAATCGAAGAAGGCGGAACACTGGAATCCTTGAAAAGCCTATGGAATATCAATGACGGTGGCCTCTGGAGGCGCTCTTGGGGGTGCTCTTGGTGCCCTCTGGGGCAGTTTTGGGAGCCTTGGGGGCCCTCTTGGGGCCTTATTTGGCTTGTCTTGAGGCTATAGTTGCCCGTACTGAGGCCATCTTGAGCCGTCTTGGCGCCTTGTTAGGCCCCCAAGAAGCCCCAGGGGCCCAAATCATAGATTGTCATTAGGTGTGAATAGGTTTTTGGGCGCAGAAGGGGTCCTGCATTTTTGGGTCGACGGATGCGGAGTGGATCCACAAGAGAGTCGCCGCATGGCCAGGCCGTCTCGGGTTGAAATTCTGATACCCGCCACGGTGTTCTCCCTAGGCTCGACCTTGCCTCAATTGTTATGAGCGGAGGTTGTTCATCGGTTGTTTGCATTTCCAGATGAGCACCATGCCACCGTTCCCACCACCACCTCCATCCTCCACCTTCTACTCGACACGCCGTCCTGTTCCTCACCATCCTCCTGCTGCTGCTCCACCTCCGCATCGTCCTCTCATTCGTCCTCGCCTATCTCCCCGACCTGCCCGTCCCCTTCGCCGCAATCCTCCGCATTCTGGGCCTGCTCATCCTCGTCCTCGTCATGCTTACCATCCGTCTCATCCCCAACCGCTGTCTACGTCTTCGTCAACCGTATCGTTCTTAACATCATTGGTATCGTCCTCCCCCTCGTCTGCATCCATCACGTCAGCCGCCTCACCCTCCTCCCCGTCTACATTCTCGGCCGCACCATCATGCCGCTCCACATGCTTTTCCACACCCTCTCCATCATCCCTCCTCCACCGCCGCATCGTCTTCATCATCCTCATCCCCCTCAGAGTCACTCAACTCATACTCCCACTGGTTTGAAACCCTTGCCCTTATCAATCCGCCTCTTATGCATCCACCACTTATTCAATATCGACACAGCCTCGTGGTTACAATGCTCCTGGATCGTCCTGTCCATCGCCCTCATCCAGGAAATATGCCACGTCATGTTCATGCACGCATGCTCATCATCATGTTTCGTTCCTGTTATCCGCATCACCAGCATTAACAATATGATCATCACCATGGTTACACCTTCCGTCGGTAACATAATCACGGTCGTGCTCATCTGTCTCTAACCCACATACACATCAACCTCCACTCCGTATACGCAATATCAATTCCCTCAGCATCACCACCACCCCGATCATCAGCATCATCATCATCATCATCATCATCATCAGCATCATCATTATCATCAGCAGCAGCATAGTCATCATCATCCTCATCATCAGCAGCAGCATCAGCATCATCATCACCATAATCGTCAGCATCATCATCAGCAGCAGCCTCATCATCTGCAGCATCATCATCAACATCATCATCATCATCATCATCATCATCATCATCATCATCAGCATCGTCATCGTCATCGTCATCATCATCATCATCATCATCATCATCATCATCATCATCATCATCTTCAACACCATCATCATCATCAGCATCAGCGTCAGCATCACCACCATCATCGTCGTAGTCATCATCAGCATCAGCATCAGCATCATCATCACCACCACCACCATCATCATTAGCACCGTCGTCATCATAATTAAAACGATCGCTATCCCCATGACCGTGTTCGTTGCTCCTCCTCCTCCTCCTCCTGCATCTCCCTGCTCGCTCTCCCACCACACCACCTTCCCGCCACCATCCCGCAGCGGTCCAGCGCGTCGTCGGCGTTCAGGGCCTCGATGGTCTCCGACAGCGCGACAAGCTCCTCCGCAATTTCGGCGGACGGCGCAACGGCACGACGCCGTGATCGCTCGTGGACGCGTTCCCCTACAATGAAAAAGTCTTGCTTAGCGTCTCGTGGCGGCAGCCCCTGCGCCACTCTACGCCTTTCAAGGTGATGGAGCGAAGCTCTGCTTTGTGGGGGTGTGAATGTCGAAGCTGCCTTGGGAGAGGCGTCCCCGATGGCGATACAGTGTATGTGATCCTCGCCCGCTAACTCGCGCGATCTGACGCTTCGATACTGTTTATCGATGCTCGGGACCCGGGACCTTTCGAACTCTCGCCCCACACGGCAATTGTTTGAAGGCTCCCGAACCTGAAGGAGCCCTCGAGACGCCAAACATGACGACAAACGAGCCGCCCCCATTCGCAAGGTGTCAAGGCTCCCTCTCTCGCGCGACCCCCCTGTGAAAAAGAACGAATTTGGAGCCCAGGGCCACGAGGCGCCAAAGTCGATACCCTCTTCGCGGCCCTGTCGGACCCCTAGAGGCCTCAGAGGTCCCCTCCATGGGTCTCCAGAGGACAATGGCCGCACCCCGGACCTCCAACGTACTGCATCAAATCAAAACAGCAGGCGCGTCCTTCGCAAAGCCCCAGCACGACAAAACACGACTCTGGGTGAAAGCTGGCCGCGTCGGCGGGACTTCGGGGAACCCCGTACTTTAGAAGCCACACATCGGGGGGCGACGAACTGGACACACATGTTGATGATCGGCCACGACGGCCAGACAATGCCGAGTGCTGGAGACACATCTGGCCCCACGTGTATTCAGTTCTCGCACGAGCTGGCCGCATCACGCGTATCCAGGTTGTTGGCAATTATCCCAAGCGTCACCCCAAGATCAGAGAGCAACATCGAGTCGGGACATAGGATAGAATCGGCATGTGCGCCGGACCGGGCTGCGTCAGAATGGAATCGGAGCACTGAGAAGTGGCGTCGGGTCTGGCCGCGCCAAGATTCACACCAGCGCAATGCGATCATCCGGCCGCAGCGGATCGCTCTAAGGCCCGAGAAGAGAACACATGTATGAAAACAATGAGCAAAGAAGCCTGTAAGGGCGCAAAGCATACACGCATCACCTGGATCCTCCTCCCTCCTGAAAGACCTGAAATACATGACATCCGAGAAATCATCCCATAAACATCCATCTGCCGCGCGTCAGAAAAAGAAGAATACGAACGCGTCCTAGCGGCCGAGCACGACACGGTTCCGTGCACCAGTCGGATTTGCACCCAGAAGCTGCACACCGGAGGCAGCCACACACAATGCAACATGCAACAGCAGGGAACGATACCGCCTACCAGCGCTACTCGATCACCTTGTCGCCCTCGATGCGCCGAAGGCCCGTTGACCTCCAGAATGCCCTGGACGAGCGCGGCGAGGAACCGAGGAGAGGTCAGGCTCAGGGCAGTCATCCCCAGCAGGGGCCCGAAAGCTCCAGCCACCTGCCTGGCCGTGCAGGGTCTCCTCCTGAGCCTTGGTGTCGAGTTGCGCGCGGCGGCGGGCGAAGGGCTGATCGATTGCCATCTGCCGATCCGAACTTGGGCTCCCATGCAGGTGAGCAGTGTCCCATGGGACACGGGCCACCTGCACGGGTAGCGCCCCCAGCGGCGCCTGAACATGGACGGCGTCTGCAGATCCCGCGGGGCCCAGGTCCCGCGGGACGGCGCGCCAACGTGGCTTCCAGCAGAAGCCGAGAAAGCCACCGCACCACCTGAGCACCGCATGCCCCGACTCGGGGGCGCAGGCTGCCCCACTGCAGGTGCCACGGGCTTCACCACCTGCTGGAACTCCTCGCGTCCCTTCGGACGCCGCCGGATGGTGTTCGACTCGGTCTGCGGGGCATTATTGGAGGAGGAGGGGGAGGAGAAGGAAAAGGAACAGGACGAGGACGAGGACGAGGAGAGGGAGGACGAGGAGAGGGAGGATGAGGAGGAGGAGGAGGAGGAGGAGGAGGAGGAGGAGGAGGAGGAGGAGGAGGGGGATGAGCTTCGCTGGCGTCGCGAGGTCGTGCAAAGCGAGGTACCGCCTTGCCCTCGCCAGCCCCGACACCCTTTGAGCCCGAGAGGCCCGCCGCCAGCGCAGGAATGACCACCTTTTAACCTGGCATGCCACTCGGCACCCAAACCGATCCACATGCAGGGGATCTTCAGATCCAGGACCACGACCATGGAATGGGCCTCCTCCAGCTGACAGGTCAGACGCACAATCACTGCGCCCGAGCTCTCGAGTGCCCTCCTCGCGGCCGTTGTCCGCGCCGCTCCTTTTGTCCGAGGTCCGAGGATCGCCCAGCTGGTAACCCTACCCGTAACCACCAACATAAGCGCGCGACGCCCGCCACCAGCTGCTCTGGCCGAGGGAACCATCACCTTGCCAGCTTGAACAGTAGGGATTTCGCTTGCTGCTGAGCGGATTGAGCCAACATTGCTTGAGCCAAACTTACTAGGGTCTCCTCCTCCCCCTCCTCCTCCTCCTCCTCCTCCTCATCCCTCCTCCTCCTCCTCCTCCTCCTCCTCCTCCTCCTCCTCCCGCCTCTTGCATCCCGCCTCTTGCCTCCCGCATCCCGCCTCCCGTCTCCCGCCTCCCTCCCTTCCTTTTCCTTCCCTCCTCCCCGCCTCCCTCCTCCCTGTTCCCTGCTCCCTCCTCCCGCCCATTCCTCCTCCCTCCCCCCTGTTCTCTCCTCCCTGCTCCCCTCTCGAGGACGAGCGCGCGCTCCAAGAACCAGCGCGCCAACCGCCGCCACCGCCGCCGGGCGCACACGGAGCGGGCGCGCCGCGCGCCCGGCTGGGGGATCGCTCCTCGGCGCGCACCTTGCAGCGCGCCTCCCACTCGGCCTCCTTGGTAGCGCAGCCCTTCTTGAGCTCGGCCAGGTACTGGGCAGGCCCAAGGACAGTTGGAGAATGGAAGCGAGAAAGGCTGCCCCTCCTCCACCTTTTCCTGCTCCTGCTCCTCCTCCTGCTCCTCCTCCTCCTCGCCATCCTCCTCCTCGTTCTCCTCCTCGCCATCCTCATCCCCCTCAGTCTCTGCTCACCCTCATCCTCCTCCACCTCCTCCTCCTGCTCCACCTGCTCCTCCTACTCCTACTCCTCCTCCTCCTCCTCCTCCTCCTCCTCCTCCTCCTCCTCACTTTCCGCCTCCTCCGCCGAGTCCCCCTGCCCCTTCCGTCCTCCCGGCTCCCTCCTCACTCTCCTCCCTCCTCCAGCCTCCAACCTCACTCCTCCCTCCTCCTGCCTCACGCGTCCAGCCTCCCTCCGCACGCCGCCCTCCTCCCTCTCTTGGCACCTGTGTTCATGGTGTCAGTGCTGTACACCCTCGGGGCACACTGTATCATTGGCATGCAGCGAACGGGCAGGATGTGAAGCAACCGGCCGAATTTCTTGGATACGGCGGGCTCTGGGACTTGGGGTGGACGTTGCGAAACGTGTATCGGCGGGGCTCCCGTCGTTGGGTGTAGCACGGCCCCCAGTCTCAGCTTAGCCCTGCTGGTGGCGGCGTCAGCGGCGCCTGTGCGGTCATTTCATTGCGATCTGGCCCTCAGGGATCTGCATTTCCTCGGGAGGCGGTGGCTTGTGCCACGTAAGTCCCATGGGGCCTTGTGTCCACCCAGGGCTGGGAAGCTCGTGCTTCTCACTATGCAGTGCCAATCGTTCCGGCTGGGATGCCTTTTGGCTCCCAATGCACCAAGCCGGGGCAGCTGGGCCGCGAGTCGCTACAGGCGACGAGGTCTTCACCTGTACCCTGTCCGTGCAGCTCTTGCTGCTCTCCCCTCGGAAACTCGTGGGCCGCGGCGTGTTCAATACACGCCAAGGCCCGCGGGGGACCGACCCGCGGCGCCGAACTCCTCCTCATCCTCCCCCTCCTCCTCCTCCTCCTCCTCCTCCTCCTCAAACTCCTCCCCATCCTCCTCCTCCTCCTCCTCCTCCTGCCCCTCCTCCTCCTCCTCAAACTCCTCCTCCTCCTCCTCCTCCTCCCACTCCTCCTTGTACTCACCATCCTCATCATCATCATGAGCAGCATCAGCAGCAGCAGCGTTACCATCATTATCAGCAGCAGCATCATCATCAGCATCATCATCACCATCAGCATCGTCAGCATCATCATCATTATCAGCATCTTCATCACGGCAGTCACCACCATAAGAATAATGATAGTAATGGTTGAAGTAGCATTACCATCATTCACATAATCATCCTCATCATCGACAGCATCATCCGCATCATCAGCATCACCGTCATCTTCATCATCATCAGCATCATCAGCATCATCAACATCCTCATCATCACCATCACAATCATAATCGGCATCAGCAGCATCCGCATCCTCACCATCATCGTCATCATCCTCATCATCGTCACCATCATCATCAGCATCATCGTCATCATCATCAGCATCAAACTCATCAGCAGCATCGCCATCATCACCATCAGCATAAATAGCCACAGCCGCAGCAGCAGTAGAAGTAGTGTCGCCCTCGTTCCCATCATCAACATCAACATAATCAGCATCATCATCGTCGTCATTATCATCAACACCATCACCATCAGCATCATCATCCTCAGTAGTGTCCTCCGCATCATCATCATCATCAACATCACAATCCTCACCGGTATCCTTATGACCATCATTAGCAACATATTCATCACCACCAGGATCATATAACAACAACATCATCACCAGCATCATTCGTGTCATCATCGTCGTCACCATCGCTATCATCAGCAACTTCATCATCTTCATCAGCATCATCAGCATCATCAGCATAACCGTCGTCATCATCATCATCAGCATCGTCAGTAGAATCAACAGCAACATCATCATACTCATCAACATGCAACCCAGCTTCATCGGCATAATCAGTATCATCCGCAGTATCCTCATCGTCATCGACACCATCGTCGAACACATCATAGTAATAAACAAACATGTCATGAATAACGTCCTTATAATGTTGTAAAGATAATTATCATTATCATCACCATCAGCAGCATCATCATGATCATCGTCATCATCAGCAGAATCATGAGTATCGCCCTCATCATCATCATCATCATCATCATCATCATCATCATCATCATCATCATCGTTATCATCATCCTAATCCTCATCCGCATCAGCGACGTCGACATCAGCAGCCGCATCCGCAACATCACCAGTTAAATCATCACAAGCATCCTCCTCATCATCCGCCTCATCATTTTCATCCGCACAAGCATCACCATCACCTCTGTTATCGTCACCACGACAGCGATTCTCATCACCATCATCATCAGCATCACCGCCATCATCACCACAATCTGTATTGATGTCAGATTCGTCAGCTGTGTACGCCGTGTCATCATTAGCATCATCACAGGCGCCAACGTCGTCGCCCTCGTCGTCGTTATCACCGCCTTCATCGTCCTCATGACCAGCACCATCATCATCAGCATCACCATCATCACCATCATCACCATCATCAGCATCATCAGCATCAACATCATCAGCAGACTCATCATCAGCATTGTCAGCATCGTCATCATCATCACTACCTACAAGATCATCGTCATCATCAGCATCAACATCATCATCCTCACCAGCATCATCATCATCATCATCATCATCATCCTCATCATCATCATCATCATCATCATCATCATCACCGCCATCATCAACATCATCATCATCATCATCATCGTCGCTACCCTTACCATGGTCACCCCCGCCATCCCACGCCCACTACTACCACCACCGCAATCAACATCACCAGCAGCAGCGACATAATTAGATTCCTCATCATCGACATCACCCCCTATCGCGATCAGCATCATCAGCAGCACCAGCGTCAGCATCAGCATCACCACGATCATCAGCCCCATCAATATCATCAGCAGCAGGTGTATCAGCATCAACATCCGCATGCGCATCCTCATCATCAGCAGCAGCCGTATCACTGGCATCAGCATCCTCATCGACATCATCGTCGTCGACGTCAGCATCACCAGCACCAATAGCATCATCAGCATCAACAGCATCATCCTCAGTATCAACATAATCGCCATCGTCGTCGTAATCGTCGCGCCATCATCACCATCAACATTAGCAACACCATCGCCAGCACCAATACCCTTACCTGCCGCATCACCATCATCATGATCATCCGCATCCTCCTCAGCAACATCGGCATCCACATGTCACATAATCCTCCCTTCCTCCGCCTCAGCATCATTCCCCTCTTCTTGCCTCCACCTGCCTCGTCATGCATCCTGGTAGATGTTTCGCAGCAGCGCCATGTTCCCTGAGAACTGCCCAGAACTCCAATGTCGACGACACACACCCTTCTTATCAGGGCGCTAGCCGTTACGGAGTTCACGCATGTTCTTCACGCCAATCACCATAAATTGGGTGCATTTGCTGCCAAGATCTATGACACAGTCACCACGGGTACAGAACGTGCAATGCGGAGGGAACCGCGATGACTCGGTGCCCAAGCCGCTCCAAGACTCCTTGGTCCAGGCGACTCCGATCTGAACGCCCAGGGCACTCAGTTGAAGGCTCTGGAGCCTCTGAGACGAACACGACACCTCCAAACCGAACCAACATGCAGATCAGGCGGGGAAGACGCTCGGGACTCGGCGACAAGACGCCGTCCGTTCCTCTGAACCCCACGTGCGGCCAACATGACAAAAACAGCACCTCCTAAGAGCGCGGGGTGTGCCAAATTGATCTTCCGATCATGGCCTGCAGAACCGAAAGATGCAGTCGAGGGTGGAGCTCCGCAAGTTCCCTCGCCACGATGTCCGCAGATTGATTCCCCACCCGCCTAAACCACCCCCCCGCCGACAACCTCCCTGAGGGGCAACGATAGGGGGGAACTGGCATAGGAGGAGATGCATCGAGCTGGAATCGGCGATACATCGCCGATAGATCGGCGATGGACCTTCGATCGTGAATCCGAACCTTTCTGGGCAGGTTGGGGCTATCGGGCCCCTATCGGCGATGAATGGGCGATTGGGGGTCGATGCATCCCCCCTATGTCTATCCCCCCTATCGTTGTCCCTGATTCCTTCGTCTACATCGTTGTGCGCTGCCACCTTGAGAAAGTCAGCGCAACGCTCTTCAAAAGGTGGCTCGCTTGCATGACAAAGCTGGCTCGGGGCCGAGTGCATCGGCAGCCCCCAAGTTCTGACGCAACAGACCATTCGCACACTCCGAACAACATTGGGATGGGGCTACCGCGTAGGGGGCAGCAGACCAGGCGAATGCTGCCCAGACGAAGAGAACGTGACAGCGACCCACCCAGCGCCAGACAACTCCCCACAGACAGTCGGGCAAAGGTGGTACGACTCGCCTGGACTGGAAGCGCGACTCAATCAACGCATGATACGGGTCTATCCCTCAAAACGGCGCACGGGCGCGAGCGCGCCCAGGAACGGTCAGGAGCTCCAACGGGCGAAGTGGGGGAAGGGGGTGCTGAGAAATGCTCTCGAAGGACCCGCCTCAGGAAAGTTCTAGAAGGAGACACCTGGGGAAGTTCCGGAATCACCCGCCTGAGGGAAGTTCAATGGGAAGCGTCTGCGAAAGTTCTAGAAGCGCCGTCCCCCCCTGTCGCGCCAGCCCCTTCAGTAGATGGGGGGGAGAAAAAAACACGCCTCGGGCCGTAAAGGCCCCGTTATGGACCCCTGTTATGGACCCCAATGGGCCCCTGCAGGGGGCCCAAAGGGCATTTGTTTCTGCAGCTCTCGCTGCCCCCCCATGCATCGCCCCCCATTACTAGAGGCCTCCTAGATGGGGTTAGAATAGATGGGGCCGAAAGATCGCGCCCCATCGCCGATGCATCGGCGATCCTCCGACCCCATCTACTCGGACCCCATCTGGGAGGCCTGAAATTACGCGACGCCCAAGCGACCCCCCCCCCCTTTTCCGAAGACCTCCAGGGGGGCCCCAGGACGGGGCACCAAGTGCCCCCCACCCCCGCCCCCGCCCCCCGCCTCCTCTCCCCGAGTGGTCCCCCCCAAGAGAGAGGCGGGGAGGCGGGCGGCCCCCCCCCGAGAATGTAGGCGGGGAGCGCGGGGGAGAGCTAAGACAGAGCCCAGGATTAGGATTATTCGGTTGAGCGTGCAGCCAATCCGTATCAGAAGGATGCGCGGTAAGGATGCAAGGGCCTTGGAAGGCCATGTCGACACCCTGCGGGCGGGGCGCGGCCGGCAAATGTTGCCACGGATGGGCCAAAGGGGCAAGGATGCGAGGGTAACCTCGGGGAGGCGCTCATCCTTACTGTGCAGCTTGACTGTAAGACGGAGCCCAGGATGAGGATACTTCGGCTGAGCGTGAATCGAGAATCTCTGAGAGCCAGCGGGTCTGGAGGATGCATGGAACGCCGCGGCGGTTCCAACGCGCTCCTCGGAGACGTGCAGAAAGCTCTGGACCGACTTAGCATCATGTCAAGAACTCCCTGCGAAGTGCAGCGGGGACAGGCTGAAGGGGAGTTTGGGCAAGGGGAGGGTGTGCGGATGCACGCCGTCGAGGACGATGCTGGCGACAGGACGTGATCCGACGGGCAACGCCATGGGGAAGTTCCCATCTGACTATGCGCGCATGTGCGCTGAATGATCTACCAGCGGCGCCGGCTCCCAGCAGCCTGCCTCCTCCACCTCTTCGGCATCGTCCCCTTCCCTTGGAGGCGGCCCCAGCGGTCTGAGCTGGATGGGCCCCGAGACCATCGGTCAAGACAGGGGGATAAAGGCAACTCCGCTCAATATCGGTTCCCGGACCCCTCCTGGGGCCCATCTGGTCAGATGTGTCACCCAAGATCCAGTTTTAAGAAAAACATGGGGCCTCAAAATGGCCCCTGGAGACCGACAGAGGCAAAACATGTTCGCGGACCCAGCACCTCGAACCTCGCCCCTCCCTTCCTGCTGGCCAGAGCCAGTCCTGTGCCACCTAAAACCCTCCGCCACACCCTGTCCATATCCTCCTCCACCTCACCCTCCGCCTCGCCCTCCTCGTCCGCCTCCTCCACCGCCTCGACCTCCACGCTGCTGCACCGACCGTTTTCTGGAACTGACGACACCTGAACGCGGGAACTCTGGCTGGCTCACTCTTAAGTTGTAGCCCTCTTCATGCCTAGCATTTATTGGCCAGGAAAAATCGGGGGCGCGCAAACATGGATTAGCGATCCATGGAATTGGCGTGAGGTCGCCAGGGCGCGCAAACATGGATTAGCGATCCATGGAATTGGCGTGAGGTCGCCAAACACATGTATCGGGGGAGGTGCCCTCCCCAAAATGCGGCCAGTGCCGCCTCGCTCGGCGCGCGATTTCATATGGAAACGGGACCGTCGCTAATCCACGCCCCCTTAATCCATGTTTGCGATCGCCTGAAAAAAGCGAAACTAGAAACATCATCCAGAGCCTCAGATTCAATAATGTCGGCCGATGCCCTCCCTGGGGCGAACGGGGGCTGGGGCCACACCACCGTTCTCCTTCACCAACAGCATGCCAGACACCAACATAGGGAATGAAACACAGACATGAGCATTAAACAACTCAGTGGTCCGCCGCGGGGGGGGGGGGGGAGGGGCGGAGCAACGGCCTGGGTATCCTCCGCCAGCGTGTCCTTGGTCTCCTTGTCGGGGGAGGGGGGGGGGAAGGGGGCGCGCGACCAGGCGGGGGCGACAACGAGGGGACCGAAAAGGAGGAGGCAACAGCTTGGAAGGAGGAGGGAGGGAGAGTAGCGAGGTGGGGGAAGGGAGGGGGGAGAAGGAGGGAGAGGAGCAAAGGGCACAGGGGGAGGGTGGAGGGGCGAGGAGTGAGGGAAGGAGAGCGGGGAGGGGCTGGGAACAGAGCGGAATGCGTATCGGCCTTTGACGCGCACAACATAGGTTCGGGAACACAAGGCAGACAGCAGAGAGAAAAACCCTTGAGCGAGCGAGCGACGAGGGGCGACGACGTCCCCAGCGCTTTTCCGGGGTCAGTGTGTCGTCCTGGATGCGTTCTTGATGGTCCCGGGGCCCGACCACGGCCCCTTCTGGTTGACGCACATTGGGGTCCAGCTACAAGGGGGTGGTGCAATAGAGACGGTGCAATAGAGACGTGGGGCTGCACTACGTGTTGGGGCGTGCAGTAGATTCTGGGGCGCAAATGAAATGCTTGCATTTTGCGTGTGATGCATCACCTGCAAAAACAATGCAATACCATTCTCTAGCACGATACATTAGTAATACAAGAACCCCGAATCTATTGCACCACCCCCTTTCAGCTGGATCCCCTTTTGGGTCAACCAAATCCCTGGAGGCCGAAATCGAGGAAGAACGTCCAGATTGGAAAAGCCGTATCGTCGGAGACCTGGGGGGTAAATTGGAGGCGGCCGGGGGGTCTGAGCTGCATGGGCACCGAGAGAATATGTCAAGAAAGGGGCGGGGGGGGCGAGTGCGAACCCGCTGTAAAAAACGTCCAGGGACACCTCCCGGGGCCGGAAATGATCAAGTGTCCGAGACGCGCCCAGCCGTGGCGACAAGGGGGCCCCTTTTTCCCCCTTTTCCTGCTGGCCGGACCCAGTGCTGGGCCACCTCAGCTTCCAAGCTGTTTCCAAGAGGCAAAGTGCTTCATGCGGGGTCAAGTTTCTTGTGATTTGGGGCCAGGAAAGATGGGGTGTTTGAGCGGTTAAGCGGCCCAGGATTGCCTGTGGCACGAGTCTCAACTTCGCGCGAATAGTAAACTAAGGCATTGAAGCTAAGCGAACCTGAAACGCCGCAGTTTTCCCCCCCTGAGAGAGGACGTTGGGCGTGACCTCCCATCAAAAAACTAGCGCTATTATCAAGATCTTGTTTCTTCATGATTCGAAAAAAACGCCCGTGCCCGGCCCCGCCCCCTTCCACGTCACGATTCGCGCCGGCGCCGTCTAGGAACTAGGCATTCCCAGGACGGCGCCAGCGCGGAATCGCGACGTGACCAGCCTCCCCTCCCCCTCTCCTCCCAGGCCCTCCCTTGGTCACGCCTGTGATCACCAGGGGATAACACATTTCGCTCTCAAAAAAAAGACAAGTATATGAACATCAAATTGCAGAGACCCGCGCGCGGACCTCCGAAACCCAACGTTTATGCAGCGTGTTGTTCCTCGACGCTGAGTCCCCACAAACGGGGCGTTAGTAGACGGGGCAGTAGCTGAGGGGCCTCTTCAAGCGAGAACGGGGCGACAGGGCATTTACCTCGCACTAGTGCGTGATTACCTTGCATTCGCGAGCGGCAAATCAATTGTTTGAAAACACCATTGACAACGCGCCCTCAACTACTGGCCGGCCCGTTTACGAACGTCCCGTCGCCGGCACCGGCTAACCTCTGCCGGCGTCGCAATCCCGCCAAGCAGGCGCCAGAGCCCCGAACACCACTCGACGCGCACACGCGCGCAGTCAAGTCACTCCCCCAAAGGGCCGACCGACCCCGGAAGGGGGGCTGCGTCTGAACGACCCAGTAGCCAATAGCTCACAGCTCTCAGGAGGAGGAGGAGGAAGGGGAAATCTAAACGTACCGATGCCGCTCCTCGTGGGACCTCTCCTGGGGTGCGTTCTGACCAGCATCTCGAGGCGACTCCAGCGGTGGCGACGAGGGCGTCCCAGGAAACAAAAAAAAATAGCCTGGCGAAGGACCCAACCATACGCAGCTGCGAATACCGCGAGGGAAATGAGACGAAGGAGGGGGGCACGCAAACTACAAGTGGCGCGAGGCATGGCCCCTGTTGTCATGGGCACTGCGCCACAGCACGGACGAGGCGCAAGACAGCGCGGGCAGGAGGTGGCTGGAGAAGGAGGAGAGCTCACTGGGCGATCCAACACATCAGCATCATCATCGCATCGTCAGACCTGTTACTGGGCACGCAGGAAGATGTTACGGAGAAGCCGCGCAAATGTCAGGGGCAGGCCAGCAACGGCAGAGACGAGACCGGGGGGCCCGCGGTCAAGAAGCAAAAGGAAGCAAGAGGAGCGAGAGACGAGGGGTGACATTTTTGCCTCCGGGCCGATAGCGAGCCACGCAGACTGCACTGCGCAGGCGGCACCGCTCGAAAGTGGCTGGGGAGTCCCCACCGACGCGGTCTGGTCATCCCGAGGGAATCCCATCGACGCGCGGGGGTCGTCCACTGCGACTCAATGTAAACGGATAGCTCCCTCTGTGGGACCACAAAACGTTCCTGGGTGGGGCCTTCGGTGGAGCTCCTTATGGGGCCACGAAGCGCTGCCCTGGGTGGGGGAACCGCATGCGGGCTGTGCCACTGGTACCTTCGGCTCCCTATGGGGCTACGAAACGCTGCCCTGGGTGGGGGAACCGCATGCGGGCTGTGCCACTGGGACCTTCGGTGGAGCTCCCTATGGGGCTACGAAGCGCTGCCCTGGGTGGGGGAACCGCATGCGGGCTGTGCCACTGGGACCTTCGGTGGAGCTCCCTATGGGGCTACGAAACGCTGCCCTGGGTGGGGGAACCGCATGCGGGCTGTGCCACTGGGACCTTCGGTGGAGCTCCCTATGGGGCTACGAAACGCTGCCCTGGGTGGGGGAACCGCATGCGGGCTGTGCCACTGGGACCTTCGGTGGAGCTCCCTATGGGGCTACGAAACGCTGCCCTGGGTGGGGGAACCGCATGCGGGCTGTGCCACTGGGACCTTCGGTGGAGCTCCCTATGGGGCTACGAAACGTGTGAGGAGTGTGCCGAGAGCAGAGGCAAGGAGGGGGAGGAGGGAGGAGGGCGAGGAGGGGGAGGAGGAGGAGAGGAGGTGGGACGCGGGGCGCTGTCTCTTCAAAACGAGGACCCAGTACCACAGGATGGTTTGGAACAAATGGTGGTGGCATGGGTACGGCAAGTTCGTGTCATGCCGATTTCGCCGTTGGTTTTTGACACCGTGAAAATCCTTCAAACTTGAACGATCGGCTGTTTCCGAAAAAAATCGTCTAACATTGACAGACTCTTGGTCACAGGCGGCGTTCAACGTTGAACGCCGGCGGCAGGGTCGGCGCTGGTCGACACGACGCGAACCTACTGTTCCTCTTCCTCCTCCCCAGGAAAAGGGGGGGAGGGGTAGGAGCGCCTCCAGGTCGTTGCCGTCCTCGCCCAGCATCACGCTCACCTCCCCGAGCCGCGTCATCTCCTGGCGAAGCAAGAGGGCTGCGGGCCCGCGGCGGCCCGCCCGAGGGGAGCCCCCGCAACCCGAGGCGCAGAACCCGGGCCTCCGAGATCGAGGGGATCGAGGGGGGCTCAAAGGCTCGAGGAGGCATCGAGAGATCGAGGAGGCATAAAAGGGCTCGAGGAGGGAGCGAGGCTCGAGGAGGAGGTGGCGTGGAAGAGAGCTCGAAGAGAGCTCGAGGGGGGGGGATCTCGGTCGGTCGGACTCGCATCTGCCAGGCCCTGGCGCCCGAGGGCATCGAGCCAGTCTGGCGAGCGCCTCGCGCGCGCGCAAAAAGGGCAAGCAGGGCACCTCGCCCTCGCCGAGGGGGGGGCCGCGGGCTCATGCCGCTTCCGGGAGAGGAGGCGTCGAAGAGGGGCCGAGGGGACTGTGGGGGTCGAGGGCGGGGGGAGCGGAACCCATCACAGAGTCGTGACAACACACGTGAAACTTCCACCATGACTTCAGGCCCCCTCTGCCACCACGAAGATAACCATGACAATCGGATCCCCCTCTGGTGCCCTCGCCAACCGCAAGCTTCGAAGCGACTCTGAAGCAGCCCCGCGATGAGACAGCGAACGCGGACGCGCAACCTCGCCGTCGACTCGTGCCGGCGCTCCTGCGAGCGCCGCCCCCCGTGCTTCCGCTGCCCCGCGCGCCCCCGCCAGCCTTGAACGACCACTCTCCTCGCGCACAGCTCGGTCGATAGTCCCTTAGTCACCGCCTATCTCTGCCCGCCGCAATAATTGCGCACGCGCCAAGCGCGCCGAGCAGACCAGAGGCATGTGAGATTGATGGCGACGCGCACTGTACATATGGCATGCTATTATCATGTGCTGACACGCCAAGTCTCGTCCATCACCCGAGAGACTCCGAACAAGACCAAGACGCTCATCAAGCTGGGCGGGCATGGGGCGGTCGGGGAACCAGGCGGCATGGATAGCACCCCACATGCTAGGGCAGCTCATATAGCGGGCCCGTGAATCACTCGCACCCTCACGCACGCAAAAAAAACATACTGGCGGCCAACACGGCCCATCCTCCTTTCCGTCGCCCACCCCCACCCCGACCCCGACCCGAGCACTAACCACTGACGTCTGCCAGGCAGGCGGAGCGCACAGCAAGGGCGCCCCGAGGCCGGCCGAACACATCCCTCGGAACGCCTGGGCCGAAGGCGGTCGGGACGTCCGCGCGGCGACCCGCTTCCAAACCGCGGCCTCCAGCCCATCTGGAACAAGTTCGGCCCCCAAGGACTTCGAAAAAAACACGCTGAATTTGGATCCTCGGGTTCCCCCCCCTCCCCTCGGCAACAGCCTTACAGGCCTCGCGGACAAGACCCCCCAAGACATCGGAGTCCCTGAAGCCCTGGGAGGCATGAGAGAGCTCAGCTCCTCGACAAAAGCACGCCGCTTCCAGAAGCTGGGAGGGGGGCACTTCCCTCCACGCCACAAAGTCATGGGCAAGAAACGCCGCGCCTTGGCCTGCGAGCGCAGCCGCGGGGTCTCCCAGTCGGCGACGGTAATCTGTCTTGCTCTCCAGAGAGCAGCAGCCGCCTGAACCTGCAACCAGCGCGGCCCGATCTTCGCCCAACTGCGGAATGCAAAGAGCTGGGAGAGGGCCAACGGGAAGGGGGGGAGGTGAAGGACATGGTGGAGAGCCCAGGAACTCCACCTGGAAAACTGCCAGGGGAACTGGGGGCCAGCTGACAGAGGCGAGCGGGCTTGGACACAGCCCGAGCGTGACGGAATTGGACCGAGACAGAGGGGGCGGCCTGCTATTCGGTCATCCCCCCATGGAACACCTCCGCCCACTCACGAGACATCCGTCCCTACATTTCCTGATCAGCAGCTGGGCCGATCCACGACCCGAGGCACTCCACGCAGGAACACTCGGGATCTTCTTCCAATGAGACACCAGTGACTGAATCACAGCTGACAGACGAGCACGCAACGCCGGGGTGAATGCAGCTTCAAGAGGCATGACGCAGTACTTGGGGCTTTGAATTGCAAGCCCGCAGTGGCCTCGGCGCCGTAGAGAATTGTCCTCGGGCCACGGCCCTGGCCCAAGGAGTGCCGAGGACATGAGGCGCGACGCTCAGGGCACAAGAGCAGCCTCGATGTGGTAGGGTCGACCACTGAGCAAACTGTTTTGCGTCGGCGGCTAGGCAGAGTAACTGCGCTGGCGGAACGACGGGGATGCCGTCGAAGCCCCACTGAGCAAGCACGACTGCGGCATGGGTCGGCAAAGGTGGGTAGCAAATCATCTACGTTCAGCTACACCCAGGGAGTGGCCCTGGACAAGAGAGGCCTCTGGGTCGTCAGCTTCAGGGTGAACGCGGAAGGGAGAAAACGAGGACCGTAGGGCTTCCCGCAGCCCGCCGGTCCTCCTCGATCTGCGCGGTGAGTGTGTTCACCTCCTTCGTCTTGGCCGCCATCATCTGGTCGTAACTCGCCTGTCAGAATGCGGAGAAATAGACATGCCTACGTCATCAGAACCGAAAGCTGCGCACTGCGCCCTAACCTCCCGCGAGTGCCAGGAAGGCTGCCGAGGAAGATGCATCTCTCTCTCTCTCTCTCATTTTTTCTCTCTCTCTCTCTCTCTCTTTCTCTCTCTCTCTCTCTCTCTCTATATATATATACACATGTAAACGTGTACACCTACAGCTCGACATGATTATGCATGGGTGTACAGATTGATGGGCATAGCTGTATGCATCGATAACTAACAAACACATGAAATCTATACACACACTAGACGCGCGCGCCACGCGCGTTTAGATCCTAGTCGTAGCTAGGGCATGGCTCTGGTTGTCGCTCGTGTCATGGGCGGCACTGCGAATCTACCCGCATGTGTGTTTTAGGGGCCTCCGTCCGCCTCGACCCTCTCATACCCTCGTCCCTCTTGGTCCTAGCCGTTGCTGTGGTCCTCCTGCTCTTCGCCCTCCTCCTCATCACTTTCCTTCTCTGCTCGTTCCGTGGTTCTCCCTTTCCAATCTCTCTGCTTCCTTTTCGCTCCTAAATGGTCATCCTCCTCTTCCTCCTTCTCCTCCTCGTCCTCCTCCTCCTCCTCCTCCCTTGTTCCCTCTGTGCCTCCCTCCTCTCCTGATCCCGCTGTCCTCCTCATCACTCGCCGTCTAACCCATGCCCACCTGTGCCCCTGATCCGGCACCGTGGATGTCTCGCGGGGATTTCTCGACTGCCTCTGGGAGTCGTTGTGGAAGCCTAGGGGGGCCTGAGTGGGGCCTTGTGGAAACCTCCCCCCTGTCCTCCCTTCTACTCTCTGCTCCTCCTCCTCCTCTCGCCTGCTCCTCCTCCTCCTACTCCCCTTCCTTTTTCCTCCACCACGATCTCTCCTCCCTCCTCCACCTCTCTCCTCCTCCTCCTCCTCCTCCTCCTCCTCCTCCTCCTCCTCCTGCTCCTCCTTCTCCTCCTCTTCCATTCCTTCTCCTTGAAAAAGTTCTCCCTGTCGCACCCCGAAGCAAGTGTTCAGGGCGGGCCGGGCGTTTCGCCTGAGACTTCCTCACCGTTTATGATTCTGAAGCCTACAAGTTGGCAACAGCGTCACGGATGGAGGGCGGGTGGTTTTCAACATGTGGCTCTCGCCTTCGCGCGGCGTACATTCTTTGTTCAGAAGTTGCAAAAGCTTTACGGGTTAAGGGCGGGTCGTTTTCAAAATGTGGCTCTCGCCTTAGCGCGGCGCACATTCGTTTTAAACATTTGCAAGACTTTCTCGGATTGAGGGTGGCTGGTTTTCAAAATGTGGCTCTCGTTTTAGCGAGGCGCACATTCGCTCTAAACATTGCAAGATTTTCACGGATTGAAGGCGGTTCCTTTTCGAACTGTGGATCTCGCCTTAGCGCCGCGCACATTCGTGTACAACAGTTGCAAGAGTTTCACTGGTGTCCACTATCAACGTGCCCGAAATTGCGTTTTGAAAGGGTTCCGGATAATGCGGGTGCAACAGTTATGCTGATTCGCTGCGTTCAAGTCCCAAGAATGGCATTCTGACACGATTCAGGATTGTCAAGACGCAATAGCAAATTGATCTGTGGCGTTGGAATCCCGAGAACAATGTTTTGGCATACTTCAGGGTCTTCGAACGGTTGTCTTCCAAAGAAGCAGTTCCCTCGATGGAAATGAACCGTTGTAGGGGCCTATGAAGAGGGAGCTTGGAGGGAGGGGTTATTCCAACATCGTTGATGACTCTTGGGTTTACACTGGTCCACCTCCGCCTCCTCCTCTTCCTCCTCCTCCTTCTCCCAACCCCTCCTTCTCCTCATCTTGTCCGTCCTCCGCCTGTTCCTGATCCTCCTCCTCGCCCCTCCCATATCCTCATCCTTCTCCTTCCCCATTCTCGATCAGAAGCTGTCGCACGCCTCGAGGGGGGGACGAGGTTCGAACGTCGAGGTTCGAGGTCTTTCGGAGTTTGACCCTCCGGGAGGGCTCCGACGACGACGGCGTGGGCCCTCGTTTACGGTGCAGAGGCTCAGATCGGTCTTGAATGTTCTCTGACTCTTCGTGAGTTGTTGTCTACCTTCTGGTTTGGAGAGGCGGGAGCTGAATGTTGTGTCTCGGAGCCCTCTTGGGGGCCGTCTGGGGACCCTCTTGGAGCGTCTGGGGGCGGTCTGGGCCGTCTGGAAGCCTTCGTGAAGCGCGCCTCGGAGGCGTGGTGGGCCATCTGCATGCGACCACGTGCGTCTGCGTATACCTTTCCGACGACTCGGGGCGACTCGGCGCCTTTTTGGGCTGGTCTGGAAGTGTCTTGGGGCAGCTCGGGGCCCCTTGGGCGGTGCTGGCGCCCTTGGGGGGAGCCCCTGAAACCGTCTTGAAGCGGGCAGGTGGTGCTTCTGGGTCTGGGTTGGAACATCAGTAAGCCGAAAAGGCGGATAGCCTCAAAAACGTCGAACACGACTTGCGCGGCGGTCTGGGGTTTGGGGGGCGCCGTCTGGAAACCTTTTTGAAGCGTCTGGGGGGGCGGTTTGGGCCCTCTGGGAGCCTTCGTAGGGCGCCTGGCGAGCGTGGCGGGCCGTCAGGAGGCGCCCGCGGGCATCTGGGAATGATTTTCTGGCTACTCGGGCGCAACTCGATGTCGTGTTGGGCTGTCCTGGAGGTGTCTTCGGGCTGCTTTGGGGCCTCTCGGGTGCGCTGGGCGCCCCTGGGGGGAGCCCCCGACGCCGTCTTGAAGCGGGTGGTGGCACTTGTGGGGCTGCTGGAGCGTCGGCAAGCCGAAAAGGCCGAACCCCCCCAAACCATTAAAAGCAGACAGAAAACGAATGGTTGTTGCTTCCTGGGGCCGTCTGGGGGGCCGTCTGAGAATCAGATTAGAGCGTCTGGGGGGCGTTTTGAGCCGTCTGCAAGAGCCTTCGTGGAGCGCCTCGAGAACGTGATGGGCCACCTGGAGCCACCCACCTGGAGCCTCCAACCCTGAGGTAGTCGCCAGCGTTATTCGGGCTCGCATGGGCCTCGACGCATTGAACACTTGCCAGATGAGCACCCGAGACTCTCAACCCCCGCCCACCTCCTTCAGCATACCTCTCCTACTAGTCATTGTCCTCCTCCTCCTCATCCTCCTCCTGCTCATCCTCCTCCTGCTCCTCCTCCTTATCATCATCATCATTCTCCTCCTCCTCCTCCTCCTCCTCCTCCTGCTCCTCCTTACCATCATCCCCCTCCTCCCCCATCTCGGCTTTTGCTTTCGTTCTCCTTTGTCCTGCCCTCGATCCGCCTGTGCTGCAAACGAAATCAATAACGATAACGGCCCGTTTAGCTCGCGCCCCGGGAGGAGGAGCAGGAGGAGCAGGAGCGGGCGGAGGATAGCGCGGGCGAAGGGGGCGTAATTAGGCGGATGAGACGCAGGATGAGGCCGAGGAGAAGGAGTACCACTTTGACAATCTCCGGTAAGCAGTCCAACGGAGGATGAACAGGAGGAGGAGGAGGAGGAGGAGGAGGAGGAGGAGGAGGAGGAGGCGGCGCGGGAGGGGGGGCCGGAGGAGCGAGCGGGCGCATGGGGGGAAGGCGGATGAGACGCAGGATGAGGACGAAGAGGAGGAGGAGGAGGAGGAGGAGGAGGAGGAGGAGGAGGAGGCGGGGGCGGAGGCGGGGAAGCGCCGCCTCCTCCCGCCCTTGGGCTCGCCTGCGCCTCGGCCTCCGCCTTCTGGTCGTCCGCCAGGGCGGCGGCCATTTCGTCGCCCATCTCCTTCAGGAGCGAACGGGCCCGCGCGCTGCGGGCGACGCCGAGCGTCGAGTGAGGGAGCACGCCTGCCTCGCAGCGCATCTTCGGCACGGGTCCTGGAGGAGCAAGGTCCAGGAAGTCTTCGCCGTTGTCCCGCTTGTCAGAAGCTCCGAGGGCCCGCGTCGCGAGAAAAACGTGAGCCCCCGCGACGAGACAGCGCCGGGAGGCCACGTCAAGGCGCCGCTGATGATACAGAAGACGTACGCTCACTCTAGCTTGGGCTCACGACAGAAGCCACTCGGTATGCGGGCGCTGTGGGCTCAAATGTTAATCGGCTGGTGACGCATCAGGATGTTCCTCATTGCCCGTCTACCAAGCCCCTGCAAACGGGGCACTAAAACGGGGCGGTAGCTAAGGAGCCTCGTCAAGCGAGAACGGGGTGACAGGGTATCTACCTCGCACTAGTGCGTGATAAATCGGGGCGACCAACACGTCGATACATCATCATAACTCTTGGCGGGGGAGTTTACCTCGCTCTCGTGCGCGGCAAATCAAAGGTTTTGAAACACCATCGAAAACCACCTTGACCTACCGGCCCGTTTACGAACGCCCCGTTTGCAGGGGTGTGGGTCGAAACCGACCATCGGCATTTAAATACCAGAGTGCCGGAGACAAGCTCCCGACACCGCAAGGGGGCGTCGCCGCCCCCCTTTGCCCAGGACGGCAAAATCGCAGGGAATCAGGACATCCCGGGCCACCGGACTTCGCAAGCCGCACCCCGCAGTGCGCGGCGCGCGGGTACCTTCGCGCCCCCAGGGCGACCTAAGACATCGTGATGCCTTCTGCCCCCTCCCCCAGGAAACACGCTGCTCGAATGTAGATTATATGCAAATGTGTGAAAATGTACAGCTCCGATCGGCGTCACTGCCCGAGACGTACACAAGCCCTCCTACGCAGAAGGCGACTAGTCAAAGGAGTGCTCTTCACAAACGAACGCACCGAGAGATACGCAGCACACTTGCGCACGACGATGCCGACACGTGTGCAGTTGACAGCCTCGCTGGGCGCCGCGAGAACTCGTCTGGATGCGAGTGCCCCCCGACTCCGCTGACCCAGGAGACCACGGAAGTGGTAGGAGTTGCGCAGATCGCAGCCGCGAAAGAGAATCACTCCCCTGTGGAAGGGTCCGTTTCCCAGTGGAATGGATCGTTCCCAAATCGAAGATGTAAAGTTGTGAAAGGTTCGCTCCCTGGCAGGATGTGTTACACTTCATTGCCTTGTGTGGAGCATTTCCGAAGCCTCTCAAAGCCTTACGTAAGGAGCAGAAACCCCATGTGAAGGGGCCAGCATGGCTGGGATGGTTTCGCGACAAGCAGCTTCACGACAAGGAAAAGACATATTCACGACAAGCAAACACACGTTCGCCACCCACTTTCGCCGCCCTCTTTCGCCGGCGAAAGTGGGCGGCGAAAGTGGGCGGCGAAAATGGGTGGCGAAAGTGGGTGGCGAAGGTGGGCGGCGAAAGTGGGTGGCGAACGCGGGTGGCGAACGAGGGCAGCGAAAGTGGGCGGCGAAAGTGGGCGGCGAAAGTGGGCGGCGAAAGTGGGCGGCGAAAGTGGGCGGCGAAAGTGGGTGGCGAAAGTGGGCGGCGAAAGTGGGCGGCGAAAGTGGGCGGCGAAAGTGGGCGGCGAAGTGGGGCGGCGAAAGTGGGCGGCGAAAGTGGGCGGCGAAAGTGGGCGGCGAAAGTGGGCGCGAAAGTGGGCGGCGAAAGTGGGTAGCGAAAGCGGGCGGCGAGAAAGTGGGCGGCGAAAGTGGGCGGCGAAAGTGGGCGGCGAAAGTGGGCGGCGAGAAAGTGGGCGGCGAAAGAGGGCGGCGAAAGTGGGCGGCGAAAGTGGGCGGCGAAAGTGTGGCGGCGAAAGTGGGCGGCGCGAAGTGGGCGGCGAAAGTGGGCGGCGAAAGTGGGCGGCGAAAGTGGGCGGCGAAAGTGGGCGGCGAAAGTGGGCGGCGAAAGTGGGTGGCGAAAGTGGGCGGCGAAAGTGGGTGGCGAAAGTGGGCGGCGAGAAAGTGGGCAGCGAAAGTGGGCGGCGAAAGTGGGTGGCGAAAGTGGGCGGCGAAAGTGGGCGGCGAAAGTGGGCGGCGAAAGTGGGCGGCGAAAGTGCTTGTCGTGAATAAGCCGTGCCTTGTCGTGTTTCAGTTTTCTCTTGTCGTGTTTCAGTTTTCCTAGTCGTGAGAACACCCGAGCTTTGGGGCCAGCTGCTCTGTCGCTCATGGTAAACAACAGGTTACCGGGGAACGAACCTCGCAGAACTGCGTTTAGCTGACCCCCAGGAACCCTCAGAAACCTGCAGGCCACACAGAGAAGCTGAAAAGGCTCTCAAGGATTCCACGGATTCTCGTAAGAAGCTGCGTAGAAGCTCCTCATGGGCTCCACAGAGGCTGTCAGAAAACTTCTCAGTGGAACCTCCGGGTACTGCAAGATCGCCTAAGAATCCTGCACGAATCCGCGGGCAGCCTGTGCACGAGAGGACCGCAACGCAGCGGTAGTAGTGGTAGTGGCAGTGGGGTGGTAGTAGTAGAAGTGAGGATGATACGAATGAGACTGATAGTAACAGAACGGGAGTAGATACAGTAACCGTAGTACTGGTAGAACCAACAGTCGTAGCCGTAGTAGTAGTAGTAGTAGTAGTAGTAGTAGTAGTAGTAGTAGTAGTAGTAGTAGTAGTAGTAGTAGTAGTAGTAGTAGTAGTAGTAGTAGTAGTAGTAGTAGTAGTAGTAGTAGTAGTAGTAGTAGTAGTAGTAGTAGTAGTAGTAGTAGTAGTAGTAGTAGTAGTAGTAGTAGTAGTAGTAGTAGTAGTAGTAGTAGTAGTAGTAGTAGTAGTACAGTAGCAGTAGAAGTGGTAGCAGTAGAAGTAGTAGCAGCAGCAGCAGCAGCAGTAGTAGTAGTAGTAGTCGTCGTCGTCGTCGTCGTCGTAGTAGTACTTGTAGTAGTCGTCGTACTGGTATTAGTAACAGCAGCAGCAACAGTAGTAGTAGCAGCAGTACTCGTAGTAGTAGCACGCAGGAAAAAGTAGTGGTAGTAGTAGTAATACTAGTAGTAGTCGTCGTAGTAGTAGTAATGGGGGGAGTAGTACTAATAGTAGTAGTAGTAGTAGTAGCAGCAGCAGCCGGAGTAATAGTAGCAGGAGTAGTTGTAGTAGTAGTAGTCGCAGAAGTAAACGCAGTAGTGGTAGCAGCTCTAATAAAAATAGGTCGTAGTCGTAGTAGTGGTAGTCGTAGTAGTAGTAGTAGTATTATTAGTAGTAGTAGTAGTGATAGTAGTAGTAGTAGTGGTAGTAAAAGTCGTCGTCGTCGGAGTCGCAGAAGTTGCTGCAGTAGTCGCCGTAGTAGTAGTAGTAGTAGTAGTAGTAGTAGTAGTAGTAGTAGTGGTAGTAGCAGTAGTAGTAGTAGTAAAGGCAAGAACTGGGTATTAGTAGTAATGGTGATGGTAGTAGTAGTAGTAGTAGTAGTAGTAGTAGTAGTAGCAGTAGTAGTAGTAGTAGTACAAGTAGTAGTAGTAGTAGTAGTAGTAGTAGTAGTAGTAGTAGTAGTAGTAGTAGTAGTAGTAGTAGTAGTGGTTGTTGTAGTAGTATAACGCTTGACAGTAGGTGGAGTAGTAGTAGCAGTAGCAATAGTAGCCGTAGTCGTCGTAGACAGTAATAACACTAGTGGTAGTAGAAGGGGTCGTAATAGTAGTGGTAGTAGTTGTGGAAGTAGCAACAGAACCGGTCATAGTAACAGTATGAATGGTAATCCGAGCCGTGCAAGAAATGGAAGCAGTAGCCGTAGAAGTCGCAATACTAATAGAGAGGAAGTAGAAATAGCAGTAGCAGCGATCATCGTAAAAATCATAGTAAACGTAGGGGGGGACACGTAGTAGTAGTTACCACTATAACACATATTATTACTGCTACTACGCCGATTACGGCTCCGACGGCGACTACTACTACTTGTACGACTACTATTATTACTACAACTACTACTACCACTACGACTAGGACTACTAGTACTACTACTAGTGCTAGGTGCAGGACGAGGACGGGGAGGGAGATGAGGAGGCAGAAGCATCAATAGCAATGTTCCGGCGTCTCGGGGATTTCGTTGGGCAGTCTTGAGCTCACTGGATCCTTGGTGTCTGGAACTCGTTACGCGATGAAGCACAAGAGCCGACGAAAATCTATGCATTTAGCATCTCGGGGCCTTCTCGGGTGTCCTCCCGGGGCCTTTTTAGGCCACTTCACGCCCTCTCGCGCCGTCCTGGGTTCCACGTGGGGCGTCTTGGAGGCCTTTGGCTGTCTTGTGGCCTTGTCGGGGCCCTCTTGGAGGGCTGTTGGAGCCCTCTTGGAGCTCTCTTGAAACCGTTCGAGACCTTCGGGCCTTCTTGGGGCCGTCTTGGAGCGCCCTTGGGCCTTCCGGGGGCCCTCTTTGGGAGCCGCTTGGCCGTCTTGGGCCGAGTTAGGTCCGTCGGAAGCATGAAACATCCAGAGCACGGACAATATGTAAAACAACTAGAATAATTCTGCGCGTTTCGCCTCCTGAGGGCCTCGTGGAACTCCTTTTGAGGGCCTCTTGGCTGTTTTGAGGCCCTCTTGGGCTGTCTTGAAGCCATTTGGGCCATCTTGGAGCTTACTTGGACGGTCTAGTGTTCTCTTGGAGCGCTGTTGGGCCTTCTTGGAACCCCTTGGGACATCTATTTGGCCCCCTCGTCGTCTCTTCCCCTCCTTCGACGCGTTGCGGCGCTCCCCGACGGGTCCAGAACGGCCGTGTACAAGATCAGTGATTCCCTGGGCCCCCTGCGACCCTCTACACATTTGTAAAGTGTATACACATACATATAGACATACACCACATATATGCATAGTGTGGTTATAGATTGTACATATGTTTAGACATACACCTACACGACCACCCTTCGGGTTATAAGGAGGTTGTGGGGGGGGAGAGAGGGGGAACCAACATCTGACTCAATCGATCGGATCGGATCGGATCGGGTTGCCTGTGCGGGCATGCGGCCGGGCCCCTTGAGGGCGAGGCGGGTGAGGCCATGGCCTCGCATGAGAGGCAGCACGCGTCGGAGGCTTGCTCAGGATAATGCGTACCCCACGAGTTGATGTTCAAATTGTTCCCACTCCTCTGGTGTAATCCGATGTAGTGACGTAGTTTCGTTGAAGTCGTAGTGTCTGTAGCATGAACCTGTCGGAGGATCCCGTGGATGACATCGCCCTTTCTGTAACCGCGAAGCCCAAGCCAAACACGAACGAGTTGAACGCCTCGGAAATCCAATCCAGTGCACACGGGCGCAGGATCATCTGACCCAACTGATCTCACTATCGATCTCACTCTACGGGACACCACGGGACACTTGTCGATCTCACTATCGATCTCACTCAACGGGCCACAACGGGACACCACGGGACACCGCGGGACACCTCTCGATCTCACTATTGGTCTCACTATCGATCTCACTATCGATCTCACTCAACGGGGACACCATAGGACACCACGGGACATCTGTCGATCTCACTATCGATCTCACTATCGATCTCACTTGTTGGGACACCACGGGACACCACGGGACACCGCGGGGCACCGCTAGGGCCACCGCAAGACGGACGTACGGACGGACGGACGGACGGGGGAGCAACATTTATCTTGACGTCGACCTAGCAACGGCGGGTTCATTCCCCTCGCGCGCCCACACAGCTTCGTCTCGCCCGCACGCACGACACGAACGAAACGAACCGAGTTCCCAGTTGGGGGTCTCCGTTCCACTGCGATCTCACCCCCAAACCTCCGATATGTATATATTTGTATATATATATATGTATATATGTATATATGTATATATATACACATATATACATATATACATACGCATACGTTTGCACACATGCATGCAAATACATATATATATATATGTATATATATACATGTATGTATTCATATATATATATACATATATACCGATAGCTGTGTTTATAAAAAAGGCGGGTGTGCATAATGATGTATGTGGTTCCTCGTCTTCTTGCCCGCCCTGTTCCTGCTCCTCATCCTACTGACGTGCTCATCTACTCATCATCCTCCTCCCTCCTCCAGTTACCTCCAGAAGCTTCCCAACGGCTTCGGCAGCTGACAACAAAACATGCTAAAACCTCTTTCGCCTTCTCCTCCTCCTCCTCCTCCTCATCATCATCCTCTTCCTCAGTATCATCCTTCTCTTCATCCTCCTCCTCCTCGTGATCTGTCCTCCCTCCTCATCCTCCTCCTGATTAATCCTCCCCCCCTCCTCTTCAATCTCCTCCTCCTCCTTCTCCTCCTCCTCTTCCTCATCTATCGTCCGTATCCCTCCTCGTTCTCCTCCTCCTCCGCATCCTCCTCATCCTCCTCATCCCGACTCCTCATTCCCCCTCGAGCCCCCATCGCTGACACCCTCTTCCCTCCCAGCCCACCCGTGGGGGAGGGGGCAGGGTGGCGGGAAGACGGCGCTGGCCCCGCCGGATGCCGACGATCTGGCCGCTCTTGGGGGCCTCGGCGCGCCCTTGCCGCCGACGTCGCCGACGTCTGTCAAAGATTGAGGATCAAGAGTTGGGGAAGCTGCACGAGGCACGGATAGACACGTATCCATGGCCTGAGGAGCCGATATTTGTGGACATCGGGAGGAGGTGGATGTAACTCCGCCGACCCTGTCGGCGTGTGGACCCCCTGTCGGCGTGCGCTCAGTCGACGCAACCGTTGTCCTCTTTCCCTGCGTCTCCGTCGCCCCCTTTCCCTGCACCCGCCTCTTCAAACCTGCAAGCGAGAGAAAGCCGTAGCAACGTCGCAATTCAGTCGAAGGGAAGGCCTTTCCCTTTGATCCCTCCCCCGCCGACGGGGGGGGGTCCTGGGGGGTGGTCCTGGGGGGGGGGGGGCGTCGACACGCATCCGCCCCTGGGCGCCCCGGAGCCCAAAAGAGCGCCAAGACGCGCCCAGAGTGCCCTAAGAGGCCCCCAAGAAGGTCCAAGAGTGCCCAAGAGGCCCCCAAGAAGGCCCCGAGACAGCCCAAGAGGGCCCCAAGACGGCCCAAGAGAACCTCAAGACAGCCCAAGAATGCCACAAGAGGGCCCCAAGCAGGCCCAAGAAGAGGACCACAAACCGACATTTCGAGCTTCTCGCCCCAAGAAGCCCGGGGAGGCCCCAAGAGCCCCTCAAGGGGCCCGAAGAGGCCCCCAAGAGACCCCCAAGAGGCCCAACAGAGGCCCCAACAGGCCCGAAAACATCCAAGAGGCCTTTCAACCACAACCCCAGCACGGTGGCGGAAGGGCAGCATGTCACAAGGCTCCCTGTCTGTCTCTGCTACGACTCCCTCGGCCCACATAGGGAACATCTCCTTCGTCTTCTCCTGCTCCCTTCCACCTTGATCCCCCTTTCCTCCTCCTCCTCCTCCTCCTCCTCCTCCTCCTCCTCCTCCTCCTCCTCGTATTCGTCGTCGTCGTCTTCAGGGTCGGCGGCACCGGCCGTAAGGCCTTAGCAATAAGTTCGGGCCCCCATGTGGCACAAAGATATCCAGATCATCTGCCTCGGGTGGTCCTGGGAAATCAACTAGCCAGGCGGTGGACACGTTTAACGTCCCAGCTTCGGACGTATCACCGTCGTCGCCGCCGAACGAGGCCTCCCTCCACGGGGCCCGTGAAGGGCACTGGGAGCCGAAAAAGTGTGAAAACGTCCCAAGACCCCTTCGCAAACATCCGACGATGTGATCTTTTCGATCCGCGGACACTGGAGGTTTCGACCACTTCCCTGGAGACAGCGTTCGCCACCGATCCGTTTCTGATAGTCCCTGGGCCCGACCACGGCCCTGGAGGCCCTGGAGACCAAAATGAAGGGAAAAGTCCGAAGTGGAAAATTCCAACCCGCCCAAAGTCTCGATGCCACGAGTGCGCTGAGCAGGGGGCCCAGGAAGGTGGAGTTAGCGCAGCAGGGCCAGAGGCATGTGCGCGCACGAGGGGGGGAGCCAAGGGCGAAGAAGCGGTGCCGTGAGATCTGTGAGACGTCACGGCCCCGCCCTGCTACGCATCCACCCCCCTTCTCAGGTCGTACAAGAAAAAAGGGAGGGGAACTAAGAGGGGGTAGAGGACCAGCTCACGTAGCCGGTTTCCCTGGCGCTGGAGGCGCCGCGGGGGGCAGTATTTTGGGAAGGCGGAGGGGCCTCTTAGAAACCAGGACCCTTCTAAGAAGGCCCCTGCCTCCTTAGATGAAGAGAGAAGGAACAACAACAACAACAACAACAACAACAACAACAACAACAACAGCAGCAGCAACAACAGCAGCAGCAGCAACAGCAGCAGCAGCAGCAGCAGCAACAACAACAACAACAACAACAACAACAACAACAACAACAACAACAACAACAACAACATCAACAACAACATCATCATCAGCATCATCATCATCAACAACAACCAGGACAACAACAACAACAACAACAACAACAACAACAACAACAACAACAACAACAACAACAACAGCAACAGCAACAGCAACAGCAACAGCAACAAAAACAACCGCAACAACAACAACAACGAAAGAAAGAAACGCCACAAGCATAAACCTTCGGCGCTCCGCGCGGATCTCTTGGATGTGCGCTGGACCACCCTCCCTGGCGCGCGGAGCACACTAGGGGCGGCGCAGGAGGCGCCGCCGGGGGGGCCCAGCGTGGGTCCAACAAAACCGCGCGGAGCGCCAAAAGTTTAGGTTTATGGCGTTTCCTCTTCTTCGATAGAAGCCCCTCCGTCTCAGAAGGCCGCTTCCCTCCGCACCTCTCCGTCTGGGGCGCCACCGAGTCCCCCCCCCGCCGTCGCCGCCCCCGAGCTCCGGGCTCCCCAAAACACCGCGGGGCCTCGGGACCCCGGAGTCCCCCGGTCGGCCGAGAGATATCATCCGAGAACGGCCCGAGTCCCAAAGCCGCGCGGTGGCGCCGAATCCCCACTGGCTCAGCACACAGTATGTATGGTCACCACTAGGTGGCCACATGCGAACCCCACCCCACCACCTCACGATTTCTAAGTCTGAGGAGGAGGCGGAGGTGGGGTTCACTTCGTTCGGGACCTCCCGAGCGAAGAGAACCCCACCTCCCCCCTTAGAAACCGTGGGGTGGTGCGGTAGGGTTCGCATGCGGCCTCCAAACACAGGCGAGGGAACCGAGGGTTCCCTCGTGGCGAGGCTGGGCCCGCCGCGTAGTCGCTGGAGGCGGAGAGGAAGGACAGCAGGGCCTGGCGCGGCGCCGGCCGGGCGGGACATCCTCCGATACGCCGCCCGCGGGGCAGGTCGAGGACGATCGTCCAGGATCGAGGAGGCCAGAGAAGGAGGAGCAGGAGAAGAGGGATCGAGGAGGAGCGTCGAGGAGGAGGATCGAGGAAGAGGCTCGAGGAACAGGGACGAGGAAGAGGATAGAGGAGGAGGCGGAGGAGGAGGAAGGTGTGTGTGTGTGTGAATGTGTGTGTGTGTTGTGGGTTGTGTGTGTTGTGTGGATTGTGTGTGTTGTGTATTGTGTACTGTGTGTATTGTGTGTATTGTATATATCGTGTGTATTGTGTGTATTGTGTGCTGTGTGTTGTGTGTTGTGTTGTGTGTTGAGTCTGGTGTGTGTGGTGTGTGGTGTGTGTGGTGTGTGGTGCGTGAGTTGTGAGTTGTGTGTTGTGTGTGTTGTGTGTTGTGTGTGTTGTGTGTTGTGTGCTGTGTGTTGTGTGTCGTGTGTCTTGTGTGTTGTCTGTGTGTTGTGTGTGTTGTGCTGTGTGTGTTGTGTGTTGTATGTGTTGTGTGTTGTGTGTTGTGTGTTGTGTGTTGTGTGTTGTGTGCTGTGTGCTGTGTGTTGTTTGTTGTGTGTGGTGTGTGTTGTGTGTTGTGTGTTGTGTGTGCGTAATGTGTGTTGTGTGCTGTGTGTTGTGTGTTGTGTGTTGTGAATTGTGTGTAGTGTGTGTGTTGTGTGTGGTGTGTGTCATGTGTGTGGTGTGTGGTGTGTGTGGTGTTTGTGGTGTGTGTGTGGTGTGTGTGTGTGTTGCGTGTTGTGTGTTGTGTGTTGTGCGTGTTGTGTGTTGTGTGTGCTGTGTGGTGTGTGTGTTGTTTGTGCTGTGTGTGCTGTGTGTTGTGTGTTCTGTGTGTTGCGTGTGTTGTGTGTATTGTGGGTGTTGTGGGTGTGTGGGTGTTGTGGGTGTTGTGGGTGTTGTGGGTGTTGTGGGTGTTGTGGGTGTTGTGGGTGTTGTGGGTGTTGTGGGTGTTGTGGGTGTTGTGGGTGTTGTGGGTGTTGTGGGTGTTGTGGGTGTTGTGGGTGTTGTGTTGTGGGTGTTGTGGGTGTTGTGGGTGTTGTGCGTTGTGTGCGTGGTGTGCGTGTTGTGCGTGTTGTGCGTGTTGTGCGTGTTGTGCGTGGTGTGCGTGTTGTGCGTGTTGTGCGTGTTGTGCGTGTTGTGCGTGTTGTGCGTGTTGTGCGTGTTGTGCGTGTTGTGCGTGTTGTGCGCGTGTGCGCGTGTGCGTGTGCGTGTGCGTGTGCGTGTGCGTGTGCGTGTTTTTGTCGTGCGTGTGCGTGTGCGTGTGCGTGTTCGTGTGCGTGCTCGTGTTGTTCGTGTTGTGCGTGTTGTGGGTGTTGTGCGTGCTGTGCGTGTTGTGCGTGTTGTGCGTTTTGTGCGTGCGCGTGCGCGTGCGCGTGCGCGTGCGCGTGTGCGTGTGCGTGTGCGTGTTGTGCGTGTTGTGCGTGTTGTGCGTGTGCGTGTGCGTGTGGGTGTGGGTGTGTGGGTGTGTGAGTGTGGGTGTGGGTGTGTGGGTGTGTGGGTATGTGGGTGTGTGGGTGTGTGGGTGTGTGGGTGTATGGGTGTGTGGGTGTGTGTGTGCGGGTGTGTGTGGGTGTGTGTGGGTGTGTGTGGGTGTGTGGGTGTGTGTGGGTGTGTGTGGGTGTGTGTGGGTGTGTGTGTGGGTGTGTGTGGGTGTGTTGGTGTGTGCGTGTGTGTTTGCGTGTGCGTGTGTTCGGCCAAGGTTGGCCCACGGGACACACCGGTTTGGCCCAAACAACAAACTTCTCTGGCGTTTGGCCTGAGGACGTTTTAGCACCACCACCCTCGTGAGCTTGCGGGCGACTGCCTCCCGCGAAACCGAGCATGGCAGGCGGTCAGGACCTCTGCCTCGGCTTTCTGGGAGGCCTCCTCCTCCCAGGATCGTGCAGCTGCGGGACAGAGAGGCGGCTTCGGGCGGAGAGGGCGGAGAAGAGGGGGGGAGAGCGCGGAGAGTGACGCGCCAGCGCCCGCCGAGGGGCGCACGGCGGCGCCTCCGCGGGCGCCGATCGGGTGTCGCCCCGCATCCGCCCCGCCCCCCGCCTCTCTTCGTGCCCTGCTTTGTGGCAGATGTGGGGCTGTTGCGTCCCCCCGGCCAGGGCACCTGTCCTGATCCATGCCATTGAGACGGCGTCCTGCAGACTCGCAGGACCGCCCGCGCCTCGCAGGACCGCCCGCGCCTCCTGCCTGCTGTGCTGCCAGCCTGCCACCTTAAGGTGCTGCTGTTGCTCGCAGCCAGCTGTCGTGTTGCGTGTACGGTGCCCCTGTTCCTTGCCGAGACGGCAGCAACGACTGTCAGCACTACCTGGCGCCCGTTCCGAATCACTGCTGGGGCGGCAGGCCCACCTTTCTCGGGCGAGTGGAGTGCCGATGGCTTGCCTGCCCAGCCAGCGGTTGAATCAGATGCGCTATCGAAAAATCCCCTCCCCCATTCATCCCTTCGGTGGCAACTCGTGGAAGCCTCCCATACCATTTTGTCGGCTCTTGCGAATCGACGCTTATCGACACTAAATCGACGCTACTCGACGCCAAATCGACGCAAATCGACGCTCACTGACGCTAAATCGGCGCTACATCATCGACTCCCAGACGCTCATCGACGCCATTCGACGCAAGAGACGGAATTAAGAGGGTACACCAGGCTCCCATGATTTCCCACCGAACCTCCCCGCTGCTCCTCCCCCCACGACGACGACCCCCACGACGGCCACTCCACTGCGACGACCCACGACGGCGGGGGCCGACCCGCCGCGCCGGCCCGCCGTCTCTCCTGGCGGTCGGTGTCTGACATGGTCGCCTTCTCCATGGCGTACCTCGCCCCCGTCCAAGAGACTTAGGTCGGGCATGTCCTCCTACAGGCGGATCTTGGACGAGAAAGGAATTAGCCATAACATAATGAAACATAGTCAAAGATAGTCGAAGAATCGTGCACCGAATAGTCCTCCTGTAGAGGGACATGCCCGACTGAACACGAGACCCAACGTCGCGTCGGAGGGCGCCGACTACACTTCAGGTACGCGCTAAAACTTTGTTGTCTTACTCCCCCGCCCTGTAACGTCCGGTCTGGGGGGGGGCCGTCGGGCCTCCATGGTGCGGTAACTGTAACGTGGTCGGGCCCCGCGGGCGGGGGACCAGGCGCCCGAGGACGACGACGACGACGACGAGGAGGAAGGACGATGACGAGGACGACGACACGACGACGAGGACGATGACGATGAGGAGGACGACGATGACAATGAGGAGGACGAGGACGAGGACGAGCACGACGACGACGACACGACGACGAGGACGAGGAGCAGGACGAGGACAAGGGCGATGACAAGGGCGAGGACAAGGACGACGAGGACGACGACGATGACGAAGACGACGACGACGACGACGAGGACGACGACGACGAGGACGACGAGGACGACGGCCGCCTCTGAAGATCTCCGGAGGTCGCAGGAGGTCTCAGGAGGTCTCAGGGTCTGGGGGCGCCTGAGGGCCCTGCGATGCAAATCAGCACCACACCATGCCTGCGAGCACAGCGCCATACGCCAGCCCCGCTCACTACCGTTAATTACGGGGGGGGCGACCCCTCCGTAACGGACGGTACGGGTTCAACGAATACAAAGACAAGCTCTGACCCGGATCAGCCCAAACCCAGGACGGCCAAGGCCCTGTCGCGAAGCCCAGCCAGCCGCTCAGCAGCTCCCAGACCTGGGTCAGCGGAGGGCGGACAGGGGCCATCGGCCCCACGTGATTCTCGAACCCTCAGATCCGACGTTGCAAAAAGGATGCAGCACCGCGACCGCAGCCCCAAACCCAATCGTTCTGCGTCATTTTCCAAGCCGGATCGGTCTGTGAGCCCCCGGAACCAACACAAACCGAAAAAACGCCCGTTGTGGAGAAATTGCCGCGCCAGGATCTGCTGGAGCCCGGCTCAGCCAGAGGGGCTTGGCTGACCCCGCCAGCGCTGACCCCCGTGGCGTGAGCCCCGATCAGCGCCCCTCGAACGGGGGCTCCACAAACGGGCACTTTGGCCAGTGACCCGGCGAACCCAACCCTCCCCGAGGTGGGCAACGCTGCAGTGCCAGAGAGAGGCCCAAAAGTGGCAACTTTCGGCAAATCTCCAAAGTACCCGTTAGTAGTGAGTACCTGTTTCGGTGCCGCGTGATGTTGGCAACGTGTTTGGGATTGCGTTTGGTACCCGCGAGGATTGTGGGATTCCCATGACTAGTACACTATGTCTTGGTAGGCTTGCCGGGGTGCGTTGTATGCGTTGGCAAAGTGGTTTGGGAGCTCGGCACGTGTCGGCAAAGATGTTGGATACATGCTTCGGTTCGTTGTCTTTGTTGGGACTGTGTTGTGCATACTGATGCGTCACACGGATGTCCGGCACGCTGCGCGTGCCGATCGCATTGCCGAAGAAGGTTGGGTGATTGTCGCTGTTTGTTGAAGTCGTTGGCAAAAGAAGTTGGCACACCAATGTAGGCTTATGTGTGGCTAGGGTTCGGGCTGCATCGCTGCGCTTGAGCGCCAGGGGCTTTTGAAGCAGCGCGGAACTTTCTCAGGACCGCGTAGGGGCAGATCCCGGGCCCTGGCTCGGGCGGGTGTGCCTTCCAGGCCAGGAGGGGCCCAGGGCCTGGATCGGCGCAGGCCCACGGTGTTGGCGCCCTCTGGCCGTGCGCCCAAAACAGCCAAAAACTACTCCATGGGGGAGGGTGGGAGGGGGGGGGTGCGAGGGCCCGCGCCGGTCGGCAAAACAATGATTAAGAAAACTATCACCAAGCGTGATACTTTCCCGCCACCCGGGCTCCCAGAGCCCATGGCTCCACCTCAGCTTCTTCGCAGCGTCCGCAGTGGCGTCGGCATCCGCCTCCGCCTCCCCAGGTCTCCTCGCGTCGTGGCAAGCTCACGACGCACCGTTTAGTCCAATACCGAATTTGGGCCCAACGTTTGGCCGCATCGACGTTGCCAGAACGACAGCGTGTGGCGTTGGTTTGCCAAGGGCGTCTTCGATACGATGCCGTGATGTGTCATGACAACATATGGTAGGCTATGAATATCGAAATGCTATGTTGTACCTTGCGTTGCTAGACAATGGTGAACTCCGCCGACCCTGTCGGCGTGTAAAAAAGACCCTTTCATTCGTTGCTGGTTCATTCGTCGTTATCGTCGTCGTCGTCGCCGTCGCCAATGCTGGCTTTCTCCTGGGGCTCCTTCTCCAACGCGCCAGCCGTTGCCTCTCTTACCCTGGGCCTTTCTCTTCAAACGTGCTAGCCCAAACGACAATAACAAACGTCGACATTCATTCGAAAAGAAGCCCCTTCCCTTGATCCCTTCCCCGCCGGGGGGGGTCCCGTGGGGGGGTCCTGGGGGAGGGGGGGGGCCCGGGGGGGGGGGTCCAAGGTCAGAATGCTCACCCCCCCCGGAGGGTCACGCAGCCCAAAACCCCCAAGACGAACCAAGACTGCCCCAAGACGACCCCAAGACACTACTGGAGGGCCCCGAATCGCCGAACAGTCGGTCCAAGACGCCAAAGTAGCCCTCCAGACGGCCCAAGAGGTTTCCAAGACGCCCAAAGATGCATCCATGAGCACTCCCAAGAGGGCCCCAAGAGGCAAACATTGTTACTTGTCCAAAAAGGTGTTTGATAGATATCGGGGTTCTCGCCTTTTCAGCTCCCCGACACTCCAGGACGGCCCAAGAGGCCCCCAAGTTCGCCCCAAGGTAGCCCAAGAGGCCTCCGAGAGAGCCCCAAAAACAACCCAAGAGGGCCCAACGACGGACGGCCCAAGAGGCCTCCGAGACTGCCCAAGAGGCCCCCAAGACGGATCCAAGAGTGCCCAGACGAGGGACCCGAACGGACATTTCGAGCCTTCGGCCTGAGAGGCTCCCAGGAAGCGCCAAGAAGCCCCCAAGACGCCCTCAAGAAACCCTCAAGATGCGCCCAGGAAGCCCCAAGAGGCCCCCAGGAGCCTCCCACCAAGCCCCCAAGAGGCTCCCACGAGGCCCCAAAATTACCCACCTGAGGCACCCGAGAGCGCTCCGAAAAGACCCTAAGAAGCATCCATGAGGACTCTGACACACGTCAGCATCGTCGTCGTCGTCGTCGTCGTTCAGGGTCGGCGGCAACGACCGTAAAGCCTCTCCAATATACTTTGATATGCTATGCCGTTACGCGCGATACAATGGCATGGATTACGATGATACGCCAGAATGTGAATGCAGCGGTATGGTATGCAAGGCTACGCAATGGTATGCAATGCTACGCTACGCGATGTGTTTCATGATGCTCAACCCTACCTGACATGCGAGGCGGTGCCATATTATCAATTGGGATATAATGTGATCCACCATGCTATGCATTACATGGCACCTCGTTTCGCTTCACGTCACTGCATCGCATACCATTGCACGCGTACACCTTCAACGATAAGATGTATCTGACTGGGGGAAGTGCCCGCGCATCACGGGCTCAAGTTCCCGCGCATCACGTACGAACAAGAAGTAGATGAACCACGCGCGCGGTCCGAAGGGACAAGCGACCTGGCGTCAACGAGGATCGCCGTAAAGTCAAGCTGCGACATGCCCCCCCCTAGGCCATAGGCGTGCATGGGATAATGCGTGTCAGAAAGAGGGTGCCCGAAGGGCGTTACGCCTTCCCTTCGTGCGATCGGGCACCTTGTCTGTCCCGTCGCGGCCCTAGCAGCGTCGAATACACGCCGAAAACATGTCGGACTCGTCGGATCCGTGTCGAATCCGCGTCGAATCCGCATCGACTCCGCATCGAGCCTACCCTTTTCGGGGACAGGCGAAGCCCCCCGACGATGCCACGTAAGCACCCCTCTCTCCCGCGTCCGCCACTCGCGGGGCTCGGGCACCGCACCCCCTGAGCTGCCGATGTGCTCCTCGGGTCTCATTGCCCGCTGCTCTCCGTCTGCAGACCTATCTGCGCCCCTCTGGTGGCGCGCACCAGAAGGGCGGCGTGAGGAAGAGGAGGGGCCTTCTTACTAGACGAGCGCGTTCCACTACTCGCAAAGTCCGCCGGCCCCCTTGTGGGGCCACCAGGCTGCGAGGCACGGGTTCGCAGTTTTCAGTACCAGTTGTAGCTTGTAGTTTCCAGTGTTACAGTTCTGCTTCTTGCTGGTTACTGTAACTAGTTGATTGACCGCGCGAGGGGGGGGGAGGCCCAAACGGGATTTTTAGCACCCCCTGGGCGCGTTGTCTGAATTGCTGGGGGAGCTCGAAATCGACACCCCTCACGCAGATCCGCGGGGTCAGGGTCCAAAAACACAGGGGATTTGCCACATTTCTGAAATTCGGTGCCACCCCTCACGCAGATCCGCGGGGTCAGGGTCCAAAAACACAGGGATTTGCCACATTTCTGAAATTCGGTGCCACCCCTCACGCAGATCCGCGGGGTCAGGGTCCAAAAACACAGGGATTTGCCACATTTCTGAAATTCGGTGCCACCCCTCACGCAGATCCGCGGGGTCAGGGTCCAAAAACACATGGGATTTGCCACATTTCTGAAATTCGGTGCCACCCCTCACGCAGATCCGCGGGGTCAGGGTCCAAAAACACAGGGCATTTGCTACATTTCTGAAATTCGATGCCACCCTCACGCAGATCCGCGGGGTCAGGGTCCAAAAACACAAAGGATTTGTCACATTTCTGAAATTCGGTGCCACCCCTCACGCAGATCCGCGGGGTCAGGGTCCAAAAACACAGGGGATTTGCCACATTTCTGAAATTCGGTGCCACCCCTCACGCAGATCCGCGGGGTCAGGGTCCAAAAACACAGGGGATTTGCCACATTTCTGAAATTCGGTGCCACCCCTCACGCAGATCCGCGGGGTCAGGGTCCAAAAACACAGGGGATTAGCCACATTTCTGAAATTCGGTGCCACCCCTCACGCACATCCATCGCAAGGCGTGGTAACCCAAACTGCGAGTACTCCCTCGGCCCTTTAATCCCAAGGTGTGGTAACCAAGCTCGTAAACCATACACGTCTTACCAATCGCCCTGTGTGGTAACCCCTCTTGTGATCAGTTGGTTTTGCCGATTGCGAATCGGCCTCGCATGAAGTTCCGATACTGCTGCACGACAACGCAAAAGCCTCATGACTTAGCTCTTCCATGGCCCATTCTCCGAGAGAGGGGGCGGGCGGCAGGGGGCGAAGCCCTTACGGATAACTGCTCGCAAATGGCCTGGTACGCCGCGGGCGATCTTGTGTTTGTCGAGCGCTTGCGAGTAAGCACTTTGCGAGTGGTGGAACGCGCCCAGTAACTCTCACAAAAAGACATGGATGTGGCTTCTAAGAAGGAGCCTCCGAAGCCGTAGGCCTTCCAAGAAGGCCCCTGCAATCTGAGAAAGTCCCCCGCCCTTCTCAAAGTCCGCCCACTTCGCGCAAATCCTCTTGCAGAGCATGTCTTATTCGCGTCGATAACGAGCGCCATGTGGGGGAAGGGGGAAAGGTGGGGGCACAACGTAACGCCCCCGCCCCCCACCGTGACAGGCTGGTGCTGGACGCACTGCGGCAATGCCGGGGACGCACTGGGAAAAGTGGCGATACATTATGGGGGGGAAAAGGCGGGCATAACGCGCGTCATGGCCCAGAGGGTAAAAACACTCGTGCACCGCCGGCCCCCGCGGTCAGCGCACTGGCGCAGCTTGTTCGCGCTCGACGTCTGCAAGAAGGACCCTGACATCCCGTTCTCGATGGCCTTCCCGGGCCAGCGCAGAGGAGGGGTGCGGGGGCAGCAAATTGGCCCAGAGGGGAGGAGGGGTGCGGGGTGAGGCGGGGTGCGGGGTCCTCCTCCTCCTCCTCCTCCTCCTCCTCCTCCTCCTGCTCCTCCTCCTCTCCCTGCTCCTCCTCCTCCTTCTCCTCCTCATCCTCCTCCTCCTCCTCCCTCCTGGTCCTCCTCCTCCTCCTGCTCCTCCTCCTCCCTCCTCCGTCTCCTCCTCCTCCTCCTCCTCCTCCTCTTCCTCCTCCTCCTCCTCCTCCTCCTCCTCCTCCTCCTCCTTTGCTGAGGTGGACGCGCGGCGGCAGACGCTCACACCCACTGGGGGGTCGTAGGTGGAGGTCCCTGTTGGGGGGGAGGGCGCATGGAACGCACGAAGTTGGCGCGGGGCGGCGTACGCCCACAGCGACTGAGGCCTTCCGAGTCGTCGTCTCCGTCATTCGCCTCAGTGCAATCCGCCGACCCTGCGGCGTGTGTGAGGGGCTTGTCCGTTCGAGTCGTCGTCTCCGTCTTTCGTTAGTCGTCGTCTCTGTCGTCCCCTCTTTCCTTGCGCCCCCCCTTTCCCTGGGCCCGTCGCTGCTCCCCCCCCTTTCCCTGGGCCCTTCTCAACAAGCGCCGGGCCCGTCCCCGGTCCCCCCCCCCCCGCCCCCCTTTCCTAAGCCCTTCTTCAAGGTCGGCGGCACCCTTCAGGGTCGCCGGCACTGGCCGCAAGGCCTTCACAATAGGTAAGTCGCAGCAGCCGCAAGGTCAACTGCACTGAGACGCGTTCGTTGTAGCACTACGGGGATGGTCAGAATGGTACTATGGGCGCCTGTGGATTGCTCGGGTGCGTGTGGCTTGTTTGGGTTGTCTGTGGGCTGTTTGGGTGCACATGGTGCTTCCTTGGGTGTGCCCCTGGGTTGTTTGGATACACCCGTGAAGGAATTGGGCGTGAATGTGGAATGCGCCTCCAAAATGGCCCCAACAGGGACCAAGCATTGGCAAACTAAGTTGCCAATGAGCTCCCACATCGAAAGATGAGGCTGATCCCGTTAGTTTGTTTGGCAGCTCCCCCACTCTTTGTTCTACTGCATGCTCGCGCATGATCAGTGCAACTCGCCTGGGCATCAGTGTTGGATGGGCTGCTAGGGGTATGCGCTAAGCATTGTCACATCCAGGACTCGATTTCATCAAGACGTCAAGTTAAGGATGCGAGATGGCAGGACGTTAACACAGAAGGATATAACACCCAAGACTGGTGTGCCACAGGATGGGCCGATGAGTCGATCATGAAATATGTCCAGCAAACACAGCTCGACGAGAGCTTCACCAAAAGCAGCAGTGAACCTGACCCAGTTGGCATTATGTGGGCCCCGCTACAACTATAGCTCAGACGGCTACTCGACAAAAATGGTGACGCACGTCGCATCACGGGGAGCGAGGGAAAGGGTGGGGATAAGGGATTGCCAGGAGGGGAGGAGAGAGGCACCACCAAATCGAATCAAAGCGCGGAGAGACAGGACAGGGAAAGAGGAAGACGATTAGAAAAGAGGCGAGTACGCACAACTCGACGATGAGCGAACGGGGAGGAGAGAGGGAGGGGATGGGGATAGGGGATAGGAAATGTGATGGGGATAAGGGAGGGAGGAGGAGAGAGGAGGAGAGAGGGAGGGGATGGGGAGAAGGGGAGGGAGGAGGAGAGGAGAGGGAGCGAGGGTCCGCAGGGGAGGGGAGAGGGGTGGCGGGGGGGGGGGCAGAAGGGGAGCTGCGGGGGTAAACAGGGAGGCGGAGAGGGGGCGAGGTGACGACGGGTACAGAGACGAGAGGAGAGGCGGCCAGCGGGACGGAAGCCGACTGCTGCCGAGAGAAAGCGCCAAAAGCACTGACGGCGACCGCGCTGGCGCTAGCGCTGACGTCGCTGGGGGCACCACGGCGCAGCCCAGAAGTTCCCTAACGGAGACAGCGGGCAGAAACGAGAGGGGCGGGGCGGCCAGCGGGGAGCGGCCGAGTGCCGCCGAGAGAGCGAGAGAGAGCGCATGCCTTGACGGCGGCCGCGATGGCGCTGATGTTGATGTCGCTGGGGGCATCAGGGCCGATTCCGGTATTTCAAGATCCCCGGGCGGCAAGCAAAGCCCCGCTGACCATCCTCCTGCCGGCTTCGCCCTGCCACCGCTCCAGCCCTCCGAGTCCCGATCCTTGTTGGCCTCGGTGTCATTCCTCTCCTCCTATCCTGCTCTGCCTCCGCCTCGGCCCGTTGTTCCTATCCTCGTCCTCGTCACTGTCATTGCTTCGCCCGTGTCCTCCACATGATCATACGACCAAGCACCTCGTACTTGTCATCCTGATCACGGTCATCCTCCTCACCCAATCCCACCAGCCCTTTGGGCGTGAGTGGTTTAGAGAGCCCGCTCTGTTCTCAACCCCCCTTCTTCCCCTTCGGGGAGGGGTTTACCCCTCCCCCTACCCCCTCCCCCTGGGCCTGGAGAGGTCCTTTCGCGGGTCGTCAGGGGGGTCATTTTCGACTCCTGGGAGGGCTAAAAAACGACACCCCTCACGAGGATTCTGGCCCCGACGGGGGGGAGCAGAAAAAAACCCTCTCCTCTTCTTTGAAGCCAAAATCATTGATTTTACTACGGTTTTGGCCCCATGTTGCCCTTCTGAGGGGGCAGCGCTCCTTAAAGCTCCCCTGTTCTTTCAAGGCAAAATCATTGATTGTACGAAGGTTTTGGCCTCATGTTGCCCTTCTGAGGGGGCCGCGCTCATTAAAGCTCCCCTCTTCTTGGATCGATTCCCTCCAAGATGGCCCCAAGAAGCGCCCAGGAGGCACCAAGCGACCCCAAGATGGCCCCAAGAGGCCCCCAGGAGGCCCCCAAGAGGCCTCCAAGAGGCCCCCAAGATGCCCCCAAGAGGCCCCCAAGAGGCCCCAAGAGGCGCCGAAGACGCCCCAAGAGGCCTCCAAGAGGCTCCAAGAGGCTCCCCCGAGGCACCCCAGACGCTCCTGGAAGCCCCTGGGGCCGCCAAGAGGCCCCCAAGACGCCCCAAACGGCCTCCAAGAGGCCCCCAAGAGGCCCGAACAGGCTCCCCCAAGGCACCCAAGACGCTCCTAGAAGCCCCTGGGGCCGCCAAGCGAGGGACGAGGGGCCCCAACGACTCACACCACGAAGAGCCCGAACGACTCACACCACGAGGAGCCCGAACGACTCACACCACGACGAAGGCCCCGAACGACTCACACCACGAGGAGCCCGAAGGAGTCACACCAGGAGGAGCCCGAACGACTCACACCAGGACGAAGGCCCGAACGACTCACACCACGAAGAGCCCGAACGACTCACACCAGGAAGAAGGGCCCGAACGACTCACACCAGGACGAGAAACCCCAAACGACTCAAACCACGAGGAGCGCTTTCTCTCCCTCCTCCTCCGCCTCGTCCTTCTCCCGCTCCCACCACAAGGAGGATGTACAAGGAGGCGGGAGGAAGGAGGAACAGGGGAGATATGCGGGGGCAGGCGGAAACACGCCTGAAAAACACGACTGTCGGCATGCTTCGCAAGAGTGGCTGTTTTGAGATGGGCTGGTGGGGATACGCGAAGCGTAAAGAATTCTCATCCCTCCTCCTCATCGTACACGTCATGATCACAGACAGACAGACAGACAGACAGACAGACAGACAGAGCCCGCGCCGAGGCACCTACGAGGGGTGCGGCGGGTGGGCGACGGGGCTGCGATAAGGGTTGGCCGCTCAGAAACAGCCGGAGTCGGAGCGGTAAGAGCGGGAGTAGGATGCACTGTATAGACCCAGTCGATAATCCACAGTCGTGGCGTTGCTGTTTCAGCTGCACGTGTGGCCCGCTTGACCCCATCAACCCACGGCTCCAATTCAGTGGCGTTCACATCGCCATCGTCATCATCATGCATACTCGTCAAGGACTCTGGCGGCATGCTGTCGACGTCACGCCCGTCGTCATCGTCGGAGGACTGGTGGTTAAGGTCGGACTCGTCAGTGATCTGATGCTCGGGTGGTGGTTGTGATACGTGCCACGTTTATTGAGGTGCGCCGTGGTATTCGCACAATCATGCGAAGCATTTGATTCGGTCGTCAACGTCCAAACTTCGCAACCATACCAAATGATCGGCGTCACGGTTCCGTGAAAAGGGCGAAGCCGGTCTGATTGTGAATAAGTTGGTCCAGTAAGCTCTTGCTTCAACATGTGAAACATGTGAAACTTTTCGCCATGCTGTGGAAATGCGGTTTTCGCGTAGCCGCTTGGGCAGTCTTGGGAACCATCTTGGGCTTTCTTGGGCCATCAGGAGGCCCCAAAGGGCTCCCGGTATTGACTGCGCCAGGATGCCCATCTGCATGCCAGCCGTTCGTGTATTGAGTGCACTGGGCTGCCCAACTGCATGCCAGCCGTTCGTGTATTGATTGCACCAAAATGCCCATCTGCATGCCTGCCGTTCGTGTATTGGTTGCCGATAAGGGTTGGCCGCTCAGAAACAGCCGGAATCGGAGCGATACGAGCTGGAGTCGGAAAGAGTCGGAGACGGTAACGGAGCCGGAGTCGGAAAGAGCCGGGAAGATGACAATGGCTAGGGGGCTGGAGTCGGAGAGGTGCGAGCCGGAGTCGGAACAAAAGAGGGGCTGGAGTCGGAGAGGTGCCACCGAAAGTGCGACCCCATATCTTGCCAATAATCCGTCGACGCGGCATCGAGGACAGCTGCGATACCCACGTCATGATCACAATCATCAACATCAGAACGTTCTACGTTCTCATAAAACCATGCGCCCTGTGTCGCTCCTACTTTGAATCGAAATCGTCATAATCAACTTCGTCATTATCGTCGCTGGCATCTTCTTCCTCATGTTTCATCCCAACCTCCTCATCTTGTCTACTCTCCATCCCTCCAGCTCCGATTCACGCCTCCGAGTCTTCCCCGGCCTGATCACCCTCCAGCAAAATCCTGGACATCCGCGGCCGCCAATTCATTGACAGCCTCATCATCCCTGCCCGTCCACCATTAGTCTGTATCACTCATGGAGTCATGGCCTCCTTGACCTCATGTGTACACTATGGTCATCATCACCGCTCTCATCATCAGCACTATCATCATTTCGAATGTTCCCTGCGCGTACTGATCTAAACTATCCAACGCCTGCCCATCCTCTTCACCATCCCGCAGTACCCACCCGTATGGTCATCATCCACACTATTATTATCATCTGGATCCTATACATCCAACTCCATCAGATCCTCCTCCCTCGTTGCACATCATCCTCCTCCTGGTCCACATACAAGTCATGCGCATCGTCATCACCATCAACGGCAGCAGCAGCATAATTGCTGTCGTCGTCCTTATCGTTCTCAGGTTCCTCCTCATCAACACCCCCCATTCCTCGTGCACGACCGCATCCTCATCAACGTTGATCGCCATCCTCCAAGAAATCGATACACGACGAACGAGCCGCTCTCCCGTGACGACGGAGCTTCTCTCGCCGCTTCTACAGCCGTTGAATCCCATGCGATTCCAGAAATCCTCGCGACCGCCACCCCAGATACCAATGACCCAGGCATCGACGCCACTCCACCAACATCTGGATACACTCAAAGAACGACGGACACTGCGATATAGTAAGGCGATGGAGGCAATGAAGAGCCGAAGACAGACCACATCTGGCGCTCGAAACATAGGGCGGAAACTGGACCGAGCACGGGCTAGGAGACCGAACAGCGCTGATTACTCTTGAAGCTCGCAGCACGGGTGGCGGGGCACTCAGCGACAAGATGTGCCCAGCACATCGGCAACGCACACATGATGCAATCACGGTGGGCAACGAATGGCATTTGCAACCGCTAAATGGCAACGCTCCTGAGGGCGGCCCGCGCACCAACAGCACTGCGACATCACGACGGCACTTGCATAGCCACGGGCAAAAACACCACGGCAGGCAAGAAACTGGAAGCTCAATACGTGACCGCGACATTGTCTCCCGATATGATGTCCAGAGGCTACGGCGTTACTCATGCGACCCTAACCAATGTCAGGCCCGATGGACACTCGCTGGATTCCTCGTTGCCCTCCTCCCCCTCTTAACCCCAAGTAACCCCAATCACCCAATAACTCATCATCATCATCAGCATCATCATCATCATCATCATCATCAGCATCATCATCAGCAGCAGCAGCAGTAGCAGTATCATCGTCGACATCAGCATCAGTCTCATCAGCATCAGCATAATCATCATCATCGGCTTCATCAGCATAACCATCCACATCATCATAACCATCTACAAAGCAAGAACGTAATGGGCCTCGTCATAAGCATCACCATCATTATCGTCATCGTCCCCAGCATAGGCATCATCAGACTCCTCCGCATCCTCCTCCTCCGCCTCCTCCTGATCATCATCATCATCATCATCATCATCATCATCATCATCATCATCATCATCATCATCATCATCACAAGCGTCGTCACCATCATGATCCCCAGCATCGGCAACAGTACAGGCATGTCCACTATAATAATGCATCATCGTGGCAACATCATCATCATCCTCATCACCATCAGCATCATCATCATGAGCATCATCAGCAGCATCATCATCCTCATCACGACCACCACAACCAACAGCATCCTCATGATCACTGCTACTCCACTTCCCACGTACCATCTCCATAGGCAGTTGCGTCATTACCATCATTCCCCTCCGCCTGTTCAGCATCAACAACATACTGCTTCACGTCCTCTCAGTCCACAGCATTCCGCACCGCATCGTCCTCCTCATGCTGGATCCTCCCCGCCCGCTTGCATGATCCAACTCCTCATCTTCCGACTACTACGTGTTCCCCCCTTCCTAAGCATCCGCGATGCTCCTTCTCCTCCACATTCACCATCGTCAGAATCGTCGCCGCCATCACCAGCAAATGCCTTTTCGTTCTCCATATCACGCCTGCCGTTACTGATATACATGGTCATCAGCATCCATAAAATTGCACATCGTCCAACGCAATAGTATTATTCTTCTCCTCCTCCTCCTCCTCCTCGATGGCATCCTCATCCTCAGCAAAGCAATCCTCACCATCCTAATCGCCCCCACCCCTCCCCCTGCGTCTGCACATTGTGATTCTCGTGCACACCATGGCAGTCATCATACCGCGCATCCCCCTCGCCCTCCACTTCCTCCTGGTCGTTATCAACGACAGCCGTTCCCCCACCGCTTCTGGTCCTCGCCATCGCACGCATACACCCCAACACGTGTCATAGTCAGTAGCGTGCTCTGATGTGCAATAGATCAGCATCAGCAGCGTCATCACCATCACGCACACACGCGTCAACATCGGCAAACTTATCAGCATCGTCACCATCGTCATCGACACGTCGTCATCCTAGGCATCAAACGCAACAACGTCAACAACAACATCAACACTATCAACCACAGCCACAACCACAACCACGACCACGACCCCGACAACGACCAGAACCACCACAACATCGTCGCCATCATCAGTACCATCATCAGCATCACCAACATCAGCAGCAGCATCAGCATCCGTATCGCCATCATCGTCACATCGTCGCTACAATCGTCATCATTGCCGACGTTGACAAAATCGTGGTCAACATCATCATCGGCGTCGTCATCGTCACCATGCTCCTCTTAGTCCTCATCATCCTTTGATGCCCCCTCTCCCTCCTGCCCCCTCATGCTCCTGCCCCCCACTCACCACCACCACCTCCACCCCGCCCGACACCGTAGCACTCTTCATCAAATCTCCATCATCCGTCCCTCTATTTCCCCTCGCCCTCCCTCCTCCCTCCCTGGCTTCTCCTGCCCCACACCCCCGCCATGCGGCGGACACGTGTCAGGAAGGCGCTGACCGTGGCGTCTGTCGCCGCACGAAACGTTCTTTCCCGAGCGATCCCCACTGCGGAGGTGCCCAAGAACGGTCGAGAGGTGGTCACGATTGGCTACCTCCGCGCATGCGCCATCGCTATCGCGGCAGGACGTCGCGGAACTAACGCAGCCTCAAGAGAGCGATCCAACGAGCTCCTCTCCAGCGTGATCTCGGGGACCCCCATTGGCCCACCTCCTCAATTGTTAATCGAGCGCCTCCTCCTCGTCATCATCATCATCATCATCAGCATCATCATCATCATCATCATCATCATCATCATCAGCATCAGCATCAGCATCAGCATCATCAGCATCAGCATCATCATCATCATCATCATCAGCATCATCAGCATCATCATCATCACAATCATCATCATCAGCATCATCGTCATCATCATCATCATGAGCAGCATCACCATCAGCAGCATCATCATCAGCATCATCACCACTATCAGCAGCCGCATCATCATGACCATCATCATCAGCAGCATCAGCATCAGTATAATCACCATCATCACCATCATCACCAGCATGCTCATCACCATCATCAACATCATCATGATCATCATCATCCTCAGCAGCATGATCGTCATCATCCTCAACATCATAATCATCATCAGTATCAGCATCAGCATCAGCATCAGCATCAGCGTCAGCGTCAGCGTCAGCGTCAGCATCAGCGTCATCAGCATCCTCTTCATCATCATCATCATCATCATCAGCATCATCAGCATCATCTTCATCATCTCCATCGTCATCATCATGAGCATCAGCATCAGCATCATAGTCATCATCAGTATCAGCATCAGCATCAGCATCATCATCAGCAGCAGCATCATCAGCATCATCATCAGCCTCATCATCAGCAGCATCACATCGTCAGCATCAGCATCAACATCGTCATCATCATCATCAGCATGCGTTGCAGCATCATCATCAGCATCAGCATTGTTTGCAGCGTCAGCATCAGCATCAGCATCATCATCATCAGCAGCATCATCATCGGCATCAGCATCAGCATCATCATCATCAGCATCATCATCAGCATCAGCATCATAATCATCATACTCAGCATCATCATCATTATCATCTCCACTGCAAGCATGATCAACACCACCAGTACCATCGTCTTGATCATCACTATCATCAGCAGCGTCAGCATCCGCAGTATCACCAGGATCCGAAACACGATCCAAGTCAGCTATGGAATAGTCGTCGACCTCGTCACCGTCACACGTGCAACCATTTTTTGTGTTTTTTTGTTCGACATTCGTTTAACAGGGCGGGTACTGTCTCGGGGCCTCAATCGCCTGTCGTCGGCAACACGTCTGCACTTGTGGCAGCCAGCGGCCATCTCGTGTGTAATGTCTTTCTCTTTAAAGAAAAGAAAGCCTGGGGGACGAACGTCACCGTCACACTTGCAACCATTACACTTACCACAACCACCACCACCACCACCACCATCATCATCATCATCATCATCATCATCCTCATCATCAGCACCAGCATCATCAGCACCATCATCAGCATCAGCATCATCACCATCAGCACCATCATCAACAGCGTCTGCATTAGCATCAGTGTCAGCATCAGCATCAACAACATCAGCATCATCAGCATCATCAGCATCAACATCAGCACCATCGTCGTTATCATCAACGTCATCGGCATGGTAATATTCAGTGCCGTCGTCGTCATCACCACTCTAAGAATCAGTATCAGCATCACCTCCACCTCATGCATCATCATCATCACCATCAGCATTATCATCCGTATCAGCATCATCGGCAGCAGCATCATCATCAGCATCGTCGTCATTATCATCGACATCGTCATCGTCATCGTAATCGGCATCGGCATCGTCATCGGCATCATCATCAGCCTCATCATCAGCATCGTCATCACAAGCATCATCATCAGCATCATCATCAATACCACCACCATCATATTCACCATTACCCTCTTCATCCTCCACCACCTCCTCCTCGATCTCCTCCCAGTCCTCCTCCTCATTCTCCTCACTACTGTCGCATCCTCATCTCGCAGACGTCTTACCAAAATGGCCAGACATGTTCACAGACCGTCGACTGCCTCTTGTCCTCCTCTTCCTGCTACTTCTCCTCCTCCTCCTCCGAAGGCCTCGCGCTTTAAACTTACACTGCCTTAAGTACGTCCCGACCGCGACGATGGTGAAACAGGTCGTCTCCTCCTCCTCCTCCTCCTCCTCCTGCCACTCCCTCATCGCCAGACCTCCGACGTCATGATGTTGGTGGCTCCCTGGAGATTCAGACCGCTTCCCCCGGACCAGCCATTCGTCCCAGGTCGCTATGTGATGGCCCCCTATATCGCCGAACATCGCCAACATCGCCCCTACTGGCTGCTGGAGGCCGAACATCGCCAAAAGATTGTTCACGACGCGAGAAGCTCTGGGATTCCCCACCCCAGAGAAACATGAGAACATGAGGGCAAGAGACGTCAAGCCGCTTCGACCCTCGACTCGCGACTCTCGATCCTCACCCTTCGGTCCCCGATCGACCCTCGATCCTCGGATCCCCGACCGACCCACGACGCCCTAGGGTGGCCATGGCCCCTCAGCTCTGGGGGAACAAAAAATGGTACCGATACCGATTCTCCACGGACCTCTCCTGGGTGCGTTCTGACCAAGACATCGGGGCGAACCCAGCCGAGGCGATGTGGGACGGGTCGCGATATATCGGCGTTTCCTCCTCCTCCTCGGCAGCGCCCCTGGCGGAGCCAGGGGAGCAGCTGTTGGTCGACGAGGCTGTCGCCGCTAGATTTACCCCGAAGCGGGTCCCCTCCGATCACAGCAGCCCTGGCTGAACATGGGTGCGCCATCTCGCCAGACGCGGCAAAGCCACCCACAAGAGACGCAGGGTGCGCCCGCGGCGAGCTCCTCTCCGACCGATACCGATTCTCCACGGACCTCTCACGGGGTGCGTTATGACCAGGACTTCGCGGCGAATCTGGCCAACGAGGGACGGGCCGCGGCACATCGGCATCTTCTCCTCCTCTGAATCAGGGTGCCCCCGCGGCGAGCACCTCTCCGACTTGAACTTGAGGGCCGCCTTGCTCTCAGTGTCCCTCAGCGCGGTGGCCTCGCCCACGACCGTCAAGGAGGGGTAACGATAGAGTGGGACCAGTCCAGGGGAGGACAACATCGAGCCTCGTCCTCCCCATCATCCTGCCTCGGTCACCTTCCCTCTCTTTCATGCTGAGGGGGGACGATAGGGGGGACAGGCTCAGGGGGGAAACTTCGAGCTGGAATCAGCGACACATCGCCGATGACTCGGCGACAGGCCCCCGACAGCGAATCCGGACGCTCCCGGGGAAGGTGGAGCCATCGAGCCCGAATCGGCGATCGACGGGCGAGAGGGGGTCGATGCATCTCCACCCGAGCCTATTCCTCTCCGATGCCACAGAGGAGGAGGAGGAGAAGGAGGAGGAGGAGGAGGTCCCAAAACGTTGAGACGAGACTGTCCTGGCTGATCGGCGCCTGAGCAACGCAGAAACAGGCCCCCAGACGTCCCAGGAGGCCTCCGAAGGCCCCTCCCTCCTGGAGGGCCGAGGCGCGGGAGGGGCCGCAGAAGCCCAACGTCAGACAAAGATCTCCGCCTCCTTCGCCATCCTCTTCGCTCCACACCCTCCCTCTCCTCAAGCCAATTGGTCTCAAACAAAGGTTGCCTTGGGCTCGAGGACTGCCGCTGGACCCGCATCGTGCTGACTGAAGGGTCTCTGGATGCCTCAAGCAAGTCGACCTGGAGATCACGGAGGTGAAGTACTGATGTGTCGGCAAGATCTTGTTTGCCCGGCTCCTCCAGTTTGTGCGTGTTCGTGCCTGTGCATCTGGTATCGAGCGACCTGCTTCGTCGACTGCCTGGCCACAGAGCCGTCATCATCATTGACAGCGGTTGCGTCGACGCGATGCTCTTTGGCGGGACTGGCTCTCCTTGCGCGTCACTTCGGAGGAGGTGCGCAAAGTCCTGCGCCCACCCTCCGAAGTGACGCGCAAGGATTCTGGGGAGCTGGACGAGAAGTGTGAGTTCAGGGATGCGCCGCAGGCTGGGCCCAGCCTGCCGCAGCAGGAGACCACGTCGTGGCCCATCAAGAAAAAGAAGAATCATCGAAAATACGATATGAGCGTCCCATCGCGCTCAGTGCCGACGGAGGAGAAGCCGAGCGAAGAGGAGAAGAACTTGGCCCCGACGCCTCCACCTCCAGGGGTCTTCGGCCCCCCCTGGGACCCGTGTGCGGGCATGCCGATCCAGGCGCTGGCCGCCCAACCTGGTTCAGCGAGCTGAGCGAGCTTAAAGAGCACGCTTCCTCGCCGCGGCGGACCGTGAGGGCGCCAATGTGTTGCCGTTCGAAGACGTGGGTGCCTCCGCCACCCAGGCCTCCCCAAACAAGAAAATGGGCAAGACTCTTTGGGCGTCGCAAACACACCGAAATAGAGTGCCCCAGACACATGCAAAACACACAGCTTCGCAACAACAGCCATCAAAGAAGCCTGCGCCCTCGCTCTCGCGAGTTTTAAACAAAACCATCGGTGTTTCAGCATGCTTATCGAATACCACCAGACGCGCCTCTCGCGCGCGCGTCGAGATCATTCGATCGCGCCTGCGCTCGTGCTGGGGGGACGCGATCCCTGTCAAAAACTGTCACGCGGGCCACTCGCGCGCGTCGACTGCGCGCGCATGCAGAAATCCTTGCAAACTTCAATCACCGACGCGAAAGCACAATCATCGTCATCGGCGTGATCCGCATGGGCACCGTCATTGCCAAAGCGCAGTCATTGTCACCATCGTCACCAGTTTCGCCACTATCATCATCGCGTCTGCCAACGTCGACGTCGCCACTTTGCCGTGCCAGCCCGAGTCACCGACGCGCACTGACGCGCGCAGCTTGCGACACGCGCTGGGAAGATGCCAGCGGCCAAAGCCACCGCGGCCGCGTCGGTCGCGCCGGACTAGCTGGCCGCTGTGCGAGCGAGCCTGCGCGCGCTAGCGCGGCCACAGCGATGCGCCAGCGAGCGACGTGCAGTCATTACAATCGCCGCCGCATGGGGCCCTCACGCGCGAGGAAGTCAAAGTTCATTGAACGACGTAAGTTTTCCCCCTAAGAAGAAATTCGGTTGCACCCCACCCCCGAGAGCGGAATCACCCGCCCTACAGATGCGCAGGTTACATATGGTTCTGCCCCACCGTTCATTCTGCAGATGAACTCGCATGATCCCAGCCAAACCGGCATCGACCCCCCCCCTCCCTTGCAAACAACACGTAGCACCCCGCAGATGCGGATAAGAGTGAGGGGGCGGTGGGGGCGTCGGCAGTTTGCGAGACTTTGGAGAAGCCCGCCGCAAGTGCCGAAGTTTCACAAATTGTTCAACGAGCCCGCCTCAGGCGCCGAAACTTTCGTTAAGCCAATGTGGGTAAGTCGAAGGTGGGTCGCAAATGGGTCGAGGGTGGATCGTTGTTGGGTCGCGGGTGGGTCGCGGGTGTAGAGGGCAGAAAACTCACCCCATAAAAATTACCCCGACAAGCGGAGCGTGAAAAAACGCACACACACACACACAAAGAATGAATCGAACAGGGCACGGCTGTTTAGTAAACACCCAAGGCTGTTTACTAAACGTCAATTGTCGGGTCCGGGTAGTGTTTCCTCCCTCAAAGGTGGGTCGCGAGGTGGGTCGCGGGTGGGTCGCGGGGTGGGTCGCGGATGGGTCGCCGATGGGTCGCGGATGGGTCGCGGGATGGGTCGCGGGTGGGTCGCGGGGTGGGTCGCGGGTGGGTCGCGGGGTGGGACGCGGGGTGGGTCGCGGGGTGGGTCGGGGTGGGTCACGGGGTGTTTCTCCGACAAACCAAGGCGTTTAGTAAACGCACACAAGGAATGAATCGAACAGGGCAAGGCTTTTTAGTAAACGCCCAGGGCTGTTTACTAAACGTCAATTGTCGGGTCCGGGTGGTTTTTCCTCGGGTCGCATGTGGGTCGCGAGGTGGGTCGCGGGTGGGTCGCGGATGGGTCGCCGATGGGTCGCGGGATGGGTCGCGGGGTGGGTCGCGGGGTGGGTCGCGGGCGGGTCGCGGGTGGGTCGCGGGTGGGTCGCGGGTTGGGTGTCGCGGGTGGGTCGCGGGTTGGGTCGCGGGTGGGTCGCGGGGCGGGTCGCGGGGTGGTCGCGGGGTGGGTCGCGGGGTGGGTCGCGGGGTGGGTCGCTGGTGGGACGACGACATCAAACAACAACAACAACAACAACAACAACAACAACACCAAAAAAAACAACAACAACAACAACAACAACAACAACAACAACAACAACAACCACACCAAAAACAACAACAACAGCAGCAGCAACAACAACAACAACAACAATAAGTTTAAGACCGTTCGCCTTTATAAGAGCGAGTGTCCAATAACGCGCGTTTCCCAAACCCTCGATACCCGCCCTCTTCGTCTTCGATCGAACCCACTTTGGGGGGTATAATTTTCTTCCCTGCAGGCCAGGCCCCGGCAAGCGGCGGGGCGGCCGCGGACCGTCGGCCTGGCCAGCGGCAGCGCTGATCGGCGGGGCGGCCGCGGACCGTCGACCCGACCCCAAGAGGGACGGACAGGGGACCGACCACCACGACGACGACGACGACGACGACGACGACGACGACGACGACGACGTCGAAGACGACGGCGACGACGACGGCGAAGACGAGCGAAAGCGAGAGCGACAGAGAACGACAGCAGGGCCACGAAGGGCACGAAGTAGGGCACGAAGTAGGCCACGAAGTAGGCCACGAAGGGCGAAAGCGGGGACACGAAGGGAATGCGTATGGGGCCACGAAGAGCGCGAACGAGCGGGGGCCACGAAGTGCAGATAATGCGGGGCCACAGAAGGCAACTACGGGGCCACTGATGGTAGCAACTGGGCCACGTAGGACAATGAGGGGGACACAAATGGCGACAGCGGGGCCACGAAGGGCATGCACATGGAGCCACAACGGGCGCGACTCCTGGGTGCCTGGGTGTCGGGAGCGCGGCGCTTCGGCAAATTGCAGGAAATTCCAACGCAAGGCCACTCTTCAGTAAGTTGCAAGCAAGTCTCCAGCGAGAGCGCGACTCCACAGCGCCGGGAGAACGATTCCTGAATACATTGTAAGGAAGTCCCAAGCGAGAGCGCGATTCCTGAATAAATGCGAGGAGGTCTCGGGCGGGAGCTGGGGTCCTGGCGTTGTTGTTGTAAGGAAGTCTCAAGCGGGAGCCGTTGTTGTTGTAACCCGGGGGCCAGAGGCCCAGTTTGAGCATCAAGATCTTCCCTGTCAAAAAACAGGGTGCGAGCGTCGAGGGGCACACTTGGATGGAGAAAAAACGATATGCACCGGTGGGGGGACCAGCAATAATTATTCTTCAGAACTGAGAATTCAACAACAACAACAACAGCAGCAACACCAACAACAACAACAACAACAACAACAACAACAACAACGACGACGACGACGACGACGACGACGACGACGACAACAACATTAACATTAACACCAACACCAACACCTGCAACAACAACAACAACAACAACAACAACAGCAACAACGCAAATCATTATAAGACAGTTCGCTCATATCTGCCCGGGTGTCATTCAGACCGAGCTCCCCACAGCCTCGATACCCGCCATTTTTGTTTTCGGTCACACCCCCTTTGGGGGGATTATTTCTGTTTGCGGGGGGCGGCGGGCTTCGACAGGCGGGCAAAACTGAATGGTCGGAAAATCCTTCGTGGGCGTGCATGTGCCCACCATTGGAATTGGTGTGGACCCTGTAAAAAGAGGAGGGGGAGAACGAGGGAGAGTGGGAGGAAGGGAGGGGGAGGGACGAAGAAATAGGGAAAACGCTAGGAGAGAAGGAGCGAAGAGGGGGGCGGTTGATTAGAGGCAGAGAGATAGAGAGAAAGACAGATAAGAGAGGTAGAGAAAGAGAGAGAGGGAGAGGGGAGAGAGAGAGAAAAAGAAAGAGGGAGGGAGGAGGCAGGAGAGGGGAGGGAGAAGGGAGGAGGGAGGGGAGGGTGAGGGGATAGGGCAGAGAGACATAAGGACGAGGGAAGAGAGGAGGGAGAAAGAAGG